ACTATTCTCTGTACAGCTTTGACGCCCTGCTGTGTCTCTTGATTATTCCATTCGCCTACTTCTGGCACGAGGAATACGATGAGATTGAGGTCGAGGAAGGTCGGTCATTCGGCAGCCGCCTCATCAGCGCGCTGAAATACACATTGGTCTTTGTTGTCCTTGTCGTGATCCTCTTTCTGGTCGGCTTCTTCGTTCCAGCCGCTGGAGACCACAACGGCACTCACTGGGACTTGGATTACTTTAAACGCATTCTCGCCCAGAACAATGGGCAAAAGGCGCTCTCCTTCGCATTGGGTCTGCTGGTCACTCTTGGAGTCCTGCTCTACGTTGTCTACACAGCGGCTGGACTGGCGCTGCTTCCCATGTCCTTCATCAAGTCTGCACCTTCCGTCTCTGCACCCCAACTTACGGAAAACACCGCATCGGCATTGGAGCAGAATCGGGAACGCCAACGCCAGCTAGAGATGCGCAACGCTGGCCGCCCTGAGGGCATGTCTTCCAAGGACCGACGTGAGCTCGAGGCCCTTGTGCGCGAGGAGCGGACGTTGACTCGCCGCGAGAGGTTGGCGGCCGAGGCTTCGGGAGAAGGCCGCAGCACCATCTACCGTGTGTGGCTCAAGATGTGCGCCGTCTTCCGGCCCATCAAGCTTCTTGGTGGCATCTTGCTGCTCTTGCTTTCCGTCCTGATCTGGGTGTCAATGTTGATCACTGGAATTGACAAGGCGAAGAACTCCTTCTGTAAGGGGAAGTGCGGCTACATCCTGGGCCATATTAACATCTTCCAACCGATCAACTGGATTTTCACGCAGTCAGCTAAGGCGTTCCCGGTCGACTACGTCCTTATGGCTCTCCTCGTATTGTTCTTATTCAGCAGTTCCATCTCGGGCATCGCCGCCGTCGGTATTCGGTTCCTCTGGGTTCGCATCTTCCAGATTCGCAGAGGACGTACCGCGCCTCAAGCCCTACTTGTCGCAACGGTCATGCTAGCTCTCATCATCCTGGCCATCAACTATGCTATCGCCAACATGGTGGCCCCTCAATACTCCATTTATGGCACGCAGACGTTCTGCACAGCCCCTCATGAAGTTGGCGAGACGCCCAACTGCAAGGGCAGGCCTGACTATATCGTTCAATGTTCCGAGGCTTTGGACCCCGATGCGCTGAAGGTCTGCACACCCTCGATCATGGCAGAGTTCCTCAACCGAATCGCCATCACCTGGCCCTTTTTTGGCGTCTTGGACTTCTGGGCCCAGTTCGTCTTCCTCGGTATCTTCCTTATTGTCTTCGTGACTGGACTGTTCCGCACGCCTAAGCTCAATATGTCCGCGCTTGACGAGGACGCCGAGGAGGATGAGGAGGAGGGTCTTCTCGCGAGCACCGGACGGAGATTCGGAGCTACGTGGCAGGACATTACGGGACGCACGACGTCAAAGAGTACCTACGGCACGCAGGGGGGCAACAACGGCGCCGGCTCGTCTGAGGCTTAATTATGTAGGAAGGGGTTTTGTAGTGTTAGAGGCATAGTGCCGCGTATACACGAAGATTGTACAACAAGCATCATATGGCATGCAGGGAAGGATTTGGGATAGCGTGGGATTTGCATCGTATCACGGTCATGGCACACGGTGGCGGGAGGGATCAGGTTTGCGATACATAGTCAACGACACAGAATGCTCAAGCTGTTTTTATTGTTTCCTTTATGACGCTCCTAGCATGACCCTCTTTTGACTTTCCTTCTTGGGTTTGACAAACCGGATGGCCTTGTGCGTTCGGTCGTCGAAGGCCGCGGCGGGGCCAACGTGCATCTCATGCCAGCATCTCGCGCAGTAGACGTCCTCACAGCCCAGGCACTGCAGCGAAGCGTCCTCTAGACACACTGCACACCAAGTTTCGGCGTCTTCGTCAGTGTAGCCCGTTTTGGAGGTCAGCCGCTTCACCGCACGATCGGCCGGCTGGAACGTGGGGACCGAGGGAAGCCTCATGCCATCCGACGAGGAGCCCAGGCCGCTCAGGGCAGCCATGCGAACGGCAATGTCATTATCGAAGTCCGGTCCAGCATCGTGCCGTGGCGTGCCAGAGGGAACGGAGGGCAGTGAGAGGCCACCTTCGCCGTCGCCGCCTGCCGTTGACGCTGCAAGGGTAGATGGTACGGATGGAAGTGAGAACCCGGCATCGCCGTCTCTGTCACCTTTATGGGCCTCCCGTGGGCCCTTTTGGCCCTCATGACCAGGACTTCTGCCCGGTTCGGGCACTTCGTCGGGCTGGGGGTTCAACCCTGCTTCGTCGACAGCCTGGGAGAGCAAGTTCTCCACCTCGCGGCTCATCTCTTCGCCATCAGACTCATCATCACTGTGATCATCGCGCGCCCTTTCTCCCTTGCCGCCGAAACCCATATGATGCGGCGCCTTCTGGACCACCGAAGTCTTCGAGAGCTCTTCCAAAAGGGCATTCACTTTAGCGGACTCATCCTTGGGTTCGGAACGCCACCGACTTTGTGGGCCAGGATCATCAAGGAGGTCTTCGTCGTCGAGCAGATCCTCAAGGGTTTGATCATCTGTCTGTAGGAGGGGATCGACGTCGTCACCCCCGGTTTTTGCGTGAGTCGCTGTCGGGGCCGGCGTGGTCGACGGCGCGGGCGATCTCGAAGATGACTGAGGCGGTGCAGCCACCGCCGCTTCCTTTGGGTGGAACCACCGGTTGGAGGACGAGGAGACGGGTGGTAAACCTGTGGCCTTCCCGCGAGTGCCGGTCGTCTCCCGATGACCGAAATGAGAGTCCACCGTGACCTTTGCGGTCTGCGGCTGTGGAGGTGGATGGTCCTCGCGCTCTGGTGTGTTCCTCAGGGACCGCAGCCTGGCCGCCAACGCATCTTCTCTCGAAGCCGGCTTTGCTGACTCAATACCTGTGACAGAGATATTCAGGGCACTTTAAAAGACCTTAGCAGCTGTATTCTAGCCATGGTTCGCGAAATCACAGAGAAAGCGGTTCTTTTGGTATTATTTACTTTGATGATCGGTTCAACGACACCCCAGGGCTCCCGCCGCCCTTTAGCGCGCTTAGGCGGTCGAGCAAACTCTTGTCGGGACCACTCATGCGTGGAGAAATGATAACCACTTGTGAAATGGATTGAAACGAAAGAGTGGAAGTGATGATAAGCCTCAGTCAGACGGCGAACAATGCGAAACGAGAGTGGCCGACCCCTCACCTTGCCAAGGTGGAAACGACAAAAGCGGGTGATGAGTGGTTCAACGAGTCTCCGAAGACGTTCCAACATGCGGCGTTATGGAGAACGACTGATCACAGCAGTACAAGGCGACTCGCGAGGCATCCAGGGGACGAACGGTCGGTCGGAAAGGTAGCTGCAGGATCTGGGGCAGAGGGTCGTACGGAGATCTCGGTATTGGCACGAGATAACAAGGCTCGCCTTCTGGTACGAATAGCGGGGGACAGTCGTTCAGTGGCCTATTGGGTGAGACTCGGAAGATACTTTGTTTTGACTGGTGCGGCGATGCTGGGCTGACGCTGAGAAGACGTGGAAATGTGACGTCTCAGCCCCTGTACAAGCCAATGACGCCTTGGGAGGGCGGAATGCAAAAGCACAGCCCAGCCTCAGCATTGTCCCTAGCCACATGACAGTTTCCGGCCATTATTGTGTACCTGTGCGACCCTACGGGGGACTGCTACGCTTTGGTTGTCCCTAGTCACAGATTAAGCTTGAATAAGCGAGGAGGGCGGATTTCACCCCGGGTGATCATTAGATTAGGCAGAAAGAAACCTGTGCCCGGCACATCCGTAACGAAGTCTTCCCATAAAAGCTATCTGACTCAGCTTTTGCCCGACTGTGGTGAGTAGTTGCGTCAATCTCGCTACGCTTACCTTCGGGTACGCTAATCGCAATGTATTGAAGTGCTGGATCTTCATCTACCTAGATGATTGACCATACCAGTGACGGAGCTTCTTTCCACATTGCTCTAGGGGTTGGTCACGCCTATCCACAAGCGGTCGCAAAGCGCTGACTGCCTTGTAGACGCCACCAACGGACCGGCGTCAAGGCTTTCCTTCAAAATGACTTGATATTTTGAGGGAAGTACGGGGCAGCGATAATCATCCACCTAAAGCAACTCAGCTCGGGATGAAGACGGACATTGACGAAGGACCCCTCCTCGGCTATGGTTATTGCCTAATGAGGCTGTGGTGACTGAAAAAGGGAAGGAAAAACATACAGACTAGATACTTAATTCGACAATGCCCAAGGATTTTTTTTTCTCTCTTCCATTATCCTTCTTTCCACCTTCTCAAACCAATTTTCGAGTACAAGGCGTTCCCCCGTAGGATCGCACAGGTACACAATAAGGCCGTACACAGTCATACATTCTACCTTCTCCAACACCATCTTGCGAAATCCATACCTAGCAGATAATAAAAGACCCTGCTTGCATCATCGACGGGGCGAACCTCCAAATTCTCCACCCAAAAGGACAAAAAAACCCCTACCTGCGTTCCGAACAGGCTTGCACCACCATAACCCATCGCCCACAGCCCAAGATCCCTTTCTGCAGAGGTGACTTCATTGTGCAGTCATCCAATCGCACCCTCACACTACATCCAAAGCAAACTTCTCCCACGCAACCTGACAAGCACGACAGCGAACGAACATCGGCGCAGCACACACATAAATTGGGCGTCGCGTTTCTCCCGGACATCCGTCATACACTAAACTAATTAGGCGGTGGCAACCACTCAGTCGATTACACATCGTCTGATCAGATCCGAACATCCCTGCTTTGGAGGGGGTACACATCAAAGCACAGCTCGACTCTTGGCGCATGACACGTCTGGTTAGCCCGACCCTTCCTTGAAACAGAGAGACAAAAGTGCCCTCGTTCCCGCTCCGCTCCATCTTTGCGACGAGCTTCCTAAACTTTTCCTACCATTGGAAATCTTAACCCCCGCCATCCAAAACTCAACTTCTGTGTTGTTCACATTTGAAGTCACCTAAGAACTTCCATCGCCAACTCATATTTGTGAAACATCTCCCCCCCAAGCGATCCTCCGCATACGTTACCGAGCAATCGAACATTCTCACATTTGCCAAACGAAATGAGGCTAGACCTCGCAGTCGTCGCGCTGACGCTATGCGTGCCCACGTGGGCCGTGGCCGTCGACACTGGGCTCCACGGATCAGACGTTGCTTTCCTTGCCCCCAAAGCTGAGCGCGACAACTCCCAGCAGGATGAAAAGCTGTGGAAGCGCAAAGGCGGTGGAGGAGGTGGCGGTCGCGGAGGAGGTACATCAGGTGGGTCTCGCTCAGGCGGCAGTAAATCTGGGGGTTCCTCTGGGGGTTCCTCTGGGGGCTCCAGCACCGGCTCCGGCTCCGGCTCAAGCTCACGAAATGGTGGTCCAGGTTCCGGAGGTTCGAGAGGCACTGGTAGCGGCGGTTCTAGGTATGCGACCCCTTGGACAGTCCCGGCCCGGCTCTTTCAACAACAGGTTAACTAACAATACTCAAAGTTCGAGAGGTCGTCCCGGCGACAACGCCGGCGGAAGTACAAGGTCGGGCAGTGGGCCACCGCCGGCTTACGGTGGTGGCAGATATGGAGGTGGCGCGGCAGTCCCCTACAGGGCTGGTGCGGCGAGAGGCAGCATCGTGCCCTTCGCCTTGGTAGGCGGTGCTTTGGCTTTCTGGCCGGGCCTCTGGCTTGCCGGCGCATACATGTATCCGTACAGCCACCCTTACCGCTACTACAACGAGACCGCGCGCGAGAACCAGACAAAAGCCGTTCTGTGCGGTTGCGCCGAAGACCTGCCCTGCAGTTGCGAAGAGAACAACGCCACCGATTACATGAACTCGTTGCTCGGCAACGGAAGCTACGACGGCCTAAACAAGTCGGTTGTTAACATCGGCGAGGTTAACGGCACCGAGACTATCCTCATTAATGGCACCCTGCCTAGCGGCACGACCGCGTCCGGCGGAACCGACGAGGTTGGTTCCGCTGCCTTCCGGACCGCCGTGGAGGCCCTTGGCTTCTGGCCTGTTGCTGCGGTTGTGCTGGCGACGGTGTTTGCCGCGTAACCCCTTCACTTGTGAAAATGCTTATGATGATGGGGCTGGTGTACATTACAACGATCGGAACGTACATATGGATCGGCAATGCTACTTTCTCACCTTTTTTTTTTTGGTTATGAGCAATGATACCCCACTGAAGCTCACTCACTCACTGTGGGTCGTGCTCTGGGATAACGCAGGAATTGTCACTCTCAGGAAACGAAAGTTTGGAACAATGCCTAAAAAGGTCAACAGGAACAGATAACTATTAATGCCCCTATGAATCTCTCAGTACCGTGCAATAGTTGTATCGATAGTGATTCGTCCCATGACGGCTGTAAGCTCTTGGGTAATTGCTCAACCCACGCTCTTTTCGTGAATGATCAAGCACTCTGCGTAATGCTCACGACGCCTCTGCACCTCTCTCAGCCCGCCTCCTCTCACACCACTCCCCCAGCTCCCTCCAAATCTTCTCCTTCTCCGCCGGGCGAAGCGTAGCGGCCAGCCCGCTCGTGCTCGTCGCCACAAACACCCTGGCCCCTGCCCAAGCCGTCGGCGACGCACCGTCGGCGGCCGCCTCTCCCCCTGTCGCGGCGACGACGACACCCATGTTCTCCCTCTCGTCCTGCCATCCGTACCGGAACTCCTCTTTCCGGATCCCCCTCCCGCGCCGCACCCGCCAGATGCTCTCCCAGATGCCCTTGCCGACGATGCAGACCACCTCGGGCCGGCACCCCCGGACCTTGTCCTCGAGCACATCCACGCCCTCGTCCATCTCCGCCTTGGACAACTCCGCGCCGTTGCGGCTCGGGCGGGCGACGATGTTTGTGTTCCCCAGGCCGTAGAGCCGCGGCAGATCGCGGTCCTCGGTGGGCGCGCACAGGCGCGGGGTGATGCCCGACGAGTGGAGGAGCTTCCAGAAGAGGTTGGAGGGGTGGGCGTAAACGTGGCCGAGGGCGGCGGTGCGGAGGCCCGGGTTCAGGCCCACGAAGAGGACCAGGAGACCGGGGGAAAGGATGTCCGTCAGGTATGGGAGGTGGGCGTAGGTCGAGGGCGGAGCGTAGCCTGCCGCTTTCCGCCTGCGTTTCGGCTTGGCGTTCCTGGCGGGCGGGGTGGTGTTTGCTGGGACGAGGGCGAGGTCAATGGAGTCCGAGCCCGGGGACTCGGGGTTGGACGAGAGGACGCCGGAGGCCGGGGGCGGAGGCGTCTTCTGGGAGGGCTCCGGCGTTGATGCCGCGGGTTTGATGACGGCGGCGGCGGCGGCGGCGGCGCTGTTGCTGTTGTTCCTGCCGGAGGCGTTGCGGTGCTTGCTAACGCGGTTCGGAGATGGGACGGGCCCGAGTGGGGTTAACTTCCGAGGAGTGCGGCGAAGCGGCGTCGGGGATGGTGGGAGACCTGGACTTGCGGCTGTCGCGGGTGTTCCGACTGCTTCCCCTCCAGGTGGCGCGGACGTCGTCGCATTGAACATGTAGTCCTGCAGCTGCAGGCGCCCTCGAAAGCTTGCGGCCTGGGGCTTGGGCTCTCGGTCAAAGAACGGGGACTCCATGACTTTGAGTCTCAACTCGAGATTCACTCTCCGGGGCGACTTTGGTGGGAGGTAAAAGACCAAAGTAGGGCTGCCGTCCCGACAGCGTAGCGTACCTAGGCTCCAGACGGCGAAGCAACCAACGGTCTTGGGATGGGGGATTGGTTTGCGTGTTTGAGGCTAACTGAAAATTGAGTTTACTAGGTGAGATACTCCGTATCTGGGCAGGATATCTTTTCCGCCACCAGCTAAAGTTGCCACCGCACCCAGGTTTAACCACCTACCTAGTCAGGGGAAGGTCTCGTTACGCAGTTGATTCAGGGTCCTGCGTTGACACCGGGGACCCACAAATTATAGACTTAGAAATGCAGCTATTTACATACTAGTAACTGACGTATGCGACACGGACGCAGGTACTTCTACTTCCGAGGCTTCTTTCGCAGTCGGGACGTCAACCGAATTGTTGTGGTTCAAGTGGCAAGGACCCGACAGTTGCCCACGGATGACGGCGATTTCTCGCGAACAAGGAGAGCGATCACCACCTCACCAGTAATATCTTTCTAAAATTGAACCGGCAGTTCGCAGTTGGCCACGAAGACCATCATACGAAATTGCAATTCTATACCAAGGGAAGACGCGATTCTTAAACTCCTCCGTAAGTGGTATCCATCATGCACCCTGGTTCCAAACCCATATATACACTGTTACGCTATGCGCCTGGAAATTTGATGAACCTTTGACGAGAAACAACCGCCGCTTCAGCACTCAACACGACCTTTCTTCGACTTCTTTCACAAGACAATGATGTTGTCCACCCTCCGTCCTTGCGTCTCGATAAAATACTTTCTGCGGACGCCCACACCCAGCGCGTTTCCGAATTTCTCGTACGCCTCGGGACCGCCGCCGCGGATCATCACCATGGCAATGGGGTGCGGCCGCCGCAGTCCCGCCGGCGTAATCTGTTCGACGTCCAGATGAGGCTTGATCATCTCATATTCCCACATGTCCGGGGCGCTGAAGACATAGTTGTTCTCGAGCTCGTCCTCATCCACGATAATGACAAGTTGTAGGGAACGCGGTGAAGGTGTATACGAGGGTATGTTGGCTATCTTCTCGCTAAAGGAGCAGCCCCCGCGGCGCATGACGATGACTTGGTGATGGCGGGGTGCCTCGTCCGGCAATCGACCATCGCAGCCAAACCCTGCGCGGTAGACTGTCTGCCACTGAAGGGTCGGAGCAGCATCCTCGGTGGGGATGGACGCATCAGGGATATCAGGTAGCGGGACAGCTCCCTTGCCCACGGCCAAAGCCCCCATGTAACTCTCAACATGAAATTTCGCCTGGGTTCCTGCTGGAAGAGGCGCCGGCGTATTGGCGGGATCAAAGACCGATGTGACAGCGCGGATCATGGACTTGAGCATGGACCTGTAGGCCGTGTTCATGCCCTTGTCCGCAGCTTGGTCTTCCGCCAGTTCAGACCTGGCCTCTTCGGTGAGCTGAACCTGGTCGTCGAAATCGCCAATATCGACTTCCAGTCCCTCAGCGGGAACCGGAGCGCTGGCGTTATGCTCTTCAGGCTCTCCGTGCATCATAATGAGCTCAATAAATCCGTTATACCGGACGCGGTTGAAGAGAGGGTCGGAGATGCCTTTCAGAAGATCTGCGTCAATGTGGACTGGTTCATCCCGCCCCAGAGGCATGTGGTTCACTTGTGTAACTCGCCAGGTATGGTCGTATGCAGAGTCAAACGTGTCCTCCTGGACGAAGTGGACCTTCAGTCCGCTCAGGGCCGATATTCTGACGCCCACCGGTGTTTTAAAGGCTGCAGTGTTTGCAAAGAGGTTGTTAAAAGCACTGCCAACACTGCCCTGTTGTACAGTAGAAGGGAATTCGATGATGAGCGTGGGCTTGAATGGCAATGCTGCGCAAGTACCGTTGTCGGGGATGAGAGATCGTGGTAATGTCCAAGGAAAGAATGTGTGATTTGCCTTGTATCTGGTGATCGAGCCGTTACTTCCCTTGCCAGCAGGAACAAGCTCTACCCCACTCCGCGGGTTGGATATGGTGTGGAGGTTGACGAAACTTGCCGCGTGGAAGACGTCTGGTCGTGCGGCCAGAACAGATCCTGTTAAGGGGACTTGCTTTGTTGGAGCAGGGCAAGTGTTTGTGAAGTTCTCGTCGTAGTAGACGTCGACGCTCCTGGCCTGCCGGTTGGATTTCTGCTTTCTTTTCGGCCTTGTCCTTCGTCGAGGAATGATTAGAGGATGCGCTTCAGTCGTGAAGACATAAGCAGCGTCAAGCTTGTTTAGAGGATGCTCTGGGTCGAAAAGCAAGTACAGGTACTTGGTGGTTTCTCCCAGGAAAAAGCTTTGCATGCGGTCGGCCTTCTCCCCTGTGTCGACGTTCTGGAGCCCGGACCAACCGCACTTTGTGTAACACAGTCTCTTGATATCGCTAAGGACCATCTCCCCAACATGCACGTACCATGGGTCATTCGTAGCACGATACAAATAGTAGTTTGACTCGATGAACTCGGGCCGACCGGGCCACCAGCCAATGCCGGAATCAACCTGTCGATCGCGGACAGACCATCGCTCAGGCAAAGCACCATAGCGGGTCCAGAGGGCGGTGTATAGCAAGTTGGCTTCCTCAGCCTCCTCGACCTCGCCAGCCATGGCAAGCAAACCAGGATAGAATGCTGCAAGGCTGTCAATCCAGCTCGTGAAGGCGTACCCACGGGTCCGGTGGCCCGTCATGTAATACGGATGATGCGCATCGTTGTACAAATGACGCTTGATTGCTGCATGTGCGTGGTGCCACGCCTCCAGGAAAGCCCCCGCAGAGTTCTCCTCCGGCGTCAATGGTGTATCGTGCAACGTGTTAGGATCGAGCCACTGTCGGTCTGTAGGCGGCTCTGATATTGTAACGTTGGGGAGTTCATGGCCCGACAGCAGAATATGGCTTTTCAGAGCATATTCGAAGAAGCTGTCGACGCCAGCACCTATGCCAGAGTCGAAGCTGACCCATTCACCTTTTTCAGGGTCGATGGCATTCCCGATGAGGCCAATTTCGCTTTTGGCTTTCCAGACTGCCCAAAACGCCCTCTTAGCCAGCTGCTCAAACCTCGGATCTCCAGTGAGTCGGCTGAGGACGGTAAACTCCAAAACAAGACTCCCTGCGCCAGCACTACATGTATCTGTTTTCTCGTTCGTAGTTTGAGGTGAGTCCGGGTCATCGCGGGAGACTTTGTGTAGCGGAGAATTTACATAGAACGGAATGCCGTGTCGAAGGTTAACTCTCGGATATGGTAGGCCGGTCTTCGTGTAGAAGGCAGGCAGAAGTCTCTCCGCGAGGTCCAACGCTAGCCTGAGAAGTTGACCATCATACTTGAAACCGTTCGGCCAAGATATTGGGCGCAGTTCCAGCGGGTCATCGTCCTCGTCCTGATTCGAGACTTGACCTGGGTTGTAGCCCGGTATCGGCAGCTCTCCCACAGCGAACAAATGTGCGCTCAATAGACCACCTACCCCTCTAATGACCGTTTCAAAGACCTGTACTTTGCTGTCAAGGTCGAACCCCCGTGCTCTTCGGCCTTGTCCGGAAGGGCCCCGTCTACCATCTCCATAGTATTCGACGAAAGCTGACACGCTTTGCTGGAACTCCTGCAAAGCCCATACAGCAGTATTATGATCGGATGGAGTCCCTGCGAGGATCGCCAAAGTCGACAGGCTGTCAATGAGGGTGAGAGAGTAGTTCCCAAGGACATCGTTGAGGTCGTAGTTTGCGGGGTTCGCGGGATCGCGCGTCAATGGGGTGCAGGAAATTGGGCGCAACTACAAACCAAAGTTAGTTTGATCATAACATGCTCAGAAGGCCTTGCGAAAACATACCTCGTCTTCCGGGAATGCGATGCGCATGTAGTTGTCCCAGCCATGGTGGAAGACCTGTGTGGTTGCATTGCGCAGTTCGGCGAGGCGGGCAGGGCTAATCGCGGACACAGACAGAGGCCATAACAGACACAGATGAGTCAGAACAAGGAGTTGTGATAGCATGATGATGCTATCTGCTTAAAATCTCGGCGCTGGGCAGGGTTCCCATCAATCAGCGGGCTGCCAGCGGCAGATGCCTCTGGATTTATGCGCGACTGAGGACAGCGGTCGTCATGGAAGGGTGTACCATTCGACAGAGGATGGTTCAAGGTAGAAACATTAAATCACCAGTAACGAACTGACAGTGGAAGAAAAAAGGAGCGTTGATTGGGAGTTATGGTTTCCCTTGGTAGGTCTCGTGCCTCCCTGACATGAATCCTGAAGTGGGATGCGATGTCTGTCATCTTCCCCCGATTGGTGGAGTTGCTGACTCAGCCAGTAGGTGGCCCTTTGCACGCTGCACCTCAATTCTGAGACGGGACGAAGGCGTCTTGAGTCTGTCGCCGTATGCATCGTATGCTTCTAGACGGAAACGATGAATATACATCAGATGCATCTTTTTGATCAATTCAATCAAACCCGGGTCTTCGTTGAATAGGGGAGGCAGTTCGCACCGTGAACTCAGATGGTGAACAGTAGCCGTTGCTAGGTAACATTATTCGAAGGAGACAGATTTCACGTCTGTCTAGTACCTGTATCCACAACCTAGAGGGAAGCTTCGAGGTTAAGAAGAGGATGCGAGTCCAGAATTTGACCACCTGTCAGTTGCTCCTCTGCAGTCACGTCATGACTGTCCACGGGGAGGTGACAGTCTAAAAAGAGAAAGCGCGCTCGGGTTAATAAACAAAAACATAGAAAAAAATCCAAAAAATCCAAAAAATTCCAAAAGTTTCAACGGCAATGGAAACCTGGCACTAAAGCTGCGTTTGTCAAGGACACAAATATTAACAAGACTTTCTCAACCCCTACGAAAGACGGTAAGCAATCAAGCCCTCCTTAGCTGCTTATCTTCTTTATCGCCCAGTCTTATTATCGTCTTGAACTTCAGAACAAAGTGCGGCCAGTGCGCTCGGGCGCTAATCGAAGCTTGCCTTCCCACTCCACAGCGCCAAAATCCTTCGTAACCAACCTCATCAAAAGCCATGATGTCTCCAAGCGCTTACGGCCACAAGCCTTAGGCGCGTCGCATAAGCGCAAACAGCCGTCGACGATGCTACCCTTGGTTGATCCATAGGTTCTCGAGCAGGGTCAAAAGGAACATCTACACAAAGTACACTGACTTCATGACCCTGGGCGTGATGATGGGTCGACCTGCAGCAAGTCCAAGGCAGCCGCCTCCACATTGCCAAGTCGTTTCGATCAAACTCTCCAGTCTCTAGGCAGCATCAGAAGGAAATGGTCTTCGGCATACATCGGACCACCTCAATGCCTCCCTCTTGGAATCAATGTGACGTCCATGTTTGTCGCTTGAGTCGCGGTGGTGTATCACCCCGGGGCGTCTATGATTAAACCAGAAATGGCCGCCCAAACTGGCCGCGCACTGCCTGGCACACTGCCAGGCCAGTTCTGGGGGCCATGACTTCAGCTTCATACATTCGGATCCGCACCCATACCCCGATGCTCAGCACTCGGAATTCGACCACTCGCAGTGACTTTTCGAACAATGAATCATCATCAACCTGCTCTATTGCGACCCCCGAGGATTGCAACGCTGCGAACCCAGCAGTCAGTCGACAGCACCGGGTTACAAGACTACTTACTTACTCTTGGCTACAGGAGCGCTCTCAGTTGCCAGGGAACGAAGAACAGCCAACTTGGCGCCAGCTCTGATACGCGACTGAAGCAATATTGCCTGGACCCGAACTTGAAGCGAGAGACCCCCCCTGGCGACGACCACGAGCTGCCATCACTTTGCTGTAACGCCCGCACCTTAGGATCGTCCTTCGCGTACACAAATTGTCGTTCCGCACTTGTGATTCTGGAGGCACACCCAACGCGGGGTGCGTTTGTCAAGGCCGCCGGCTATGCTGGGCGGAACTCCAAGCCTTGGAGCTAAAGGTCCTGATCCCTTGGTCGGTGATGCACAACCAGAACTTCTTGCGCTTACGAATATTCCAGGAAGACTGGCAAAGCGACTTCGTCACAACGGCGGAGCGTGCCGTGGGTACCGAGAGGCAGAAAGCTCGGCTGCGGGCGCACTGCCTCTCCCACACCCTTGCTTGAGAGCGTAGGCCATCGTGCGATACCAATGGCGAGGGGACGGCGAGCCAGTTATTTCGGCACCAGTGCTGTTTCGAGTGTTCCAAATACGGCAGGAGAAGGACGACTTGGATGCCTTTGCGGAACAAGAGCAGACTTGTCTTCACCGACTTTGAACCCGATACTCTGGATCGGGGCCTGCAAAGGAAGGGAATGTTGAGACAGATGGTGCAGAAGCTCTGCTGCAAAGAGCATGTTTCTCTTCGCTCTATTGGCAGCATGGAGGACAGCGACCGTCTACTGGTGGGAAAAGCAGAGAGAGGGGGGGGGGGGGGGGGGTGGGGAGGGGGTGGTAGACGACAGTCTTCCTGGCGCTGCTGGCGCGATGGTCCACCCCCGACCGACTTCACTAGCTTGCTTGTTTTGCTTGCTTTCTGAATGGGCTCAGTCTGCAAGCAAGAAGTTATACCCGGCAGGCGGTTCCATCCTGCACTCTTGATTCGTCCCGAGAGGACGGATCGCAGTGTTACTGGCTGGCTCTTGCACGAGTAGTGGCTTAGCCGCTGCGGATGTGAATTACCGGCCACTGCTTTGCTGTTCTGGCGATGATCTGGCATCCCCTTCCGGGTGCGTTGCATGACAGACGTGATGGACGGTGGCATGATCGCATTCCCGGCCTAGCTCACAGGCGCCTCGCGCTTCGCCGCCGTTGGAACCAGGTTCACAATAAATGGCGATTCGGACAGGCGCAAAGCAAGTCAATGTTGCGCCAAATCCGGGGTTGGCCATTCGGCAAATGCAACCTATGAGGTCTTGCGCCTGCGGGAACGGGACGCACGGGTCGAACCAAGGGGCCTGCAAACACTTCCTATGGGCACGGGAATACTACCTCACGAAAGGGCGGCCGCCGACAGTGGCGGGAGGTGACAAACAAGGTCGGTCGTAGTCTGGAAAGACCAAGAGAGAGAGAGAGCGCGCAAACACAAAAGTGGATAATGACATTGACGTGTGCACCGGCCTGGCTGGGCAAGGGACAAGCTGCAACAGAGGGGCTACCTCGCTTCGACGGTCAGCCCAGTCGCAAAAACCTCCATATTCCCCCCCCCCCCCCCTTGTGGTCGGCGATCAACATCGTCGGGTACCTTATGGTCTGTGGCCCAAGCGAGCAGGGGAGGGGGTCTCGGCCCCTTCTCGCGCGGGCGGGCATCATCATCATCATCTCTTTGGGGTTCTTTGGACGGGGGACCGCAGTCGTTGTCTATCAGTCAAAACAATCGAAAGCCCGGATCTGACAGAAAGCTTCCAAATCAGCCTAGCAGAAATTACGCGAGAGAGCGCAGCAAAGCGGGAAATACTCCGGCGTCGAGTTTGACCTCGGGGGACCTTTTGACGGACCAGGGCAGCTTTTCCCACACTCCCACCCCCCCATACCCCCTCTTCGTCTCATGCGGGCAGAGCAAATACTGACAAAATGAACACTTTCTTCTTTATCGCGCGCCGTCCACAGTTCATTTACCGAGTTTCCGGGACCATTGATGAGGTATCGCTGCCGACCAGGTCAGTGGAAATTCCCTGGAGCTCCTTTTGGGGGGCTGCGGGCGGAACTTCTGGTCCTCGCGAACGAGAGCACGCCTTTCGCCATCTCCCCCCGTCTCTCCCCATTATGTCGAGTCTCTACTATGGATGCACTACGTGTGCTTCTCCCATGCCTCCCCGCCCTTAAAAGGATTGTCGCCTCGGTCTCTCTGGATCTGCGATATGGCAGCAGCACGGTCGAACAGGGTGCTGCATCTGAAGGGGTCCTCTTGTTCTTGTCCCTACGCCTCTTCTCTCCTGCTTTCTCTCTCCATATTTCGTCAGGCGTTCGTGGGCAGGGCAGGGCAGGTCCGGGGCCGGGAGGGACGTCGGGGTTATGCACGTACCAGCTGGTCCGGCAGGCAGCCTTTTCGGGGTTCATTGTGCTGTTTTTGTCAGCAGCCGTTTGCGAAGCAGGGGTTCATCACATCTTTCGTCACACGCTGCTCTCCCTCGTCTTCCAGCCCCTGGCCCCGACCCTGGCTGTGCCTCTCGCCCTCTCACTTGCGCTCGGCGCGTCCTCTCTTCCCGGAACCTGGGAAACAAGGGGATCAACCACTGGTCCACGGTCAAGCTCGGTCACCACACCGGTCAAGGTCAAGGCCACCCCTGAAGGGCATGGTGGGCGGAAGCGGATGGAGGGGAAGGCGAATCTCCTCCCGATCTATCTCCCCTCCCCCCACCTCTCCGGATGAAGCAATGAATTGCGCGCTCAATGCGATTGGAATTATATGACAATGCGTAAAGTGACATTCGCCCGGAGGTGGGAGAACCGGCTCTTACACACTGCGAGACTGGGAAAGAAGCAGGCGAGGCGAGGCGAGACGAGGTTTCGGATCAGCGGGCTTACAGACCTTTGCGCACCATGTCGACGCCGTTGGCCCAGCGAGATGGGCCTCATGCTGGGCTCGAACAGGGCAGCGCAGTCGTAGCTCAGTCTTTTCCTTGCTCCGTAGTAACTTTCATTTTCCAGCAAGAAAGCGGCTCTCCATGTCGTCATCTTGGGGATGGCCGTATCCGCATTGCCCAGAGGTGGCGGCGCCTACCACCACCCAGCCGGCCATGACTTGCTCCGAAGGATATATCCTTCGGAGTGCATGGTCTATTTGTCTTCTTCGTCTTCGTCGTCGTCGGCCCTGTGCTCCCTCTCGCCCTTCATCCCAGGAACCACCCACTGTGGTGCCCAGAAGTTTCCTCGCAGACCTTCCACCTCACATGGGCAAGGTGGCAGCAACGTGCGAGAGTCACCGTGGGAAGCCGAGACCTGTCTTGGCGGGGAGCGATAATCAACAGTGTGCGGAAGCCGGTCTGCGGGGCCGTCGGCTTGTACCCACTGTTTCGCCCCATCTGAAGACCGGGTTCCTTGGGGCGTGTTCTCTTCTTCTCGCCAGGGTTGGGTGGGGGTGGGGAGAAGGAGGACAAGGTAGCGCGTGGGCACCATACGGGGATGCCCCGGGAAAACAATAGGGACGAGGGGCGGACAGGCGAATCTCCCATCTCTCGCAGCTCCCCCATCAACCTATTCGTATTATCTCCCGCTGTTTTGCCTGGCGGCGTCGCTGCCCTACCTGTCCTTGTCTTTTAGGTTTTTGCCTGCCCTGTCGAGTTTGTGTGCTGAGGGTGTGGCCCCTGACAAGATAATGTCCTTTTCCCGGCTGCTGCTTATCTCCTCCCTCTCTTTTCTCTTCCAATATGGGCTTTTTTCATCTATTCATTTTCCGCCTTCTTTCTTTCCTTCTCTTCCTAGGACTACCTTACCTAGCCCCCCTTAGCCCTTGTCCTGGCTTATCCTTTCCATATGTCCGCTGATTCGAGCAAAAAGGGTACTAGTTCCAAGTGCCTGGGCTGCGGATAAGCCGCACGTCGTATCCGGTCCAGAATGGCCGCAGACACGGTCTGGCTGTGGATGTTGTCTTGTCGTATACAAGTCGTTGTGGCAGCGCAGGGCTAACAAAAGATGATCCACCATCGTTCTCGTTGAAGAGGGCTAGGCCGGTATTGCCCAGCATGGAGCTGGTCCTCGTCATCGTCGTCCCTTTGGTTGCGGCGTAGCAGCGGAAGAGAAGAGGGGGACGTGCAGGGCAGCGGGTCTATATCTCAGTCTCTTGGCACATCCTAATGACTTTGCATCAACAGAAGCGATCCCTCGTTTGGTCTGGATGGCCTTGTGCTGCCTTGTTGTCATGAGATTGTTAGTGACGTTACATTGGGCGCGTCGGCGAGTGCGAATGCTGCCTTGGTCCCGAAAACTTGGGAACGCTGCCTGTAGATGGATGGCTACTGGCACCTTCTACTCGGCATTATTCGGAGGTCTGGTAGGCAGAATTGCAGTGCTTTCGCGGTCACCACTTGTGAACTGGTGGATGGATACAACACTCTCGCTAGTGCAACAAATGTCTTGGACATTCAAATAGACAGTGCGGACGATGAAGTGACAATATGCACGTGAGGAGATGGATATGGTATGATTTTGTATAGGTGATGGATGGTTCGTAGTATATTTCACAAGAAGATATCCACAGAGAAATGCAGACGTGAGTGTAGAGAGATATAGGTAGCGATATGTGTAATCCAGTAGAGCCCCCCCCCCCCCCCCTGCGAACCCCAAAAGAGTGGTATCTTCCCCTTAGAAAAACAAAGACGGAAAAAAAAAAAAGAAGAAAAAAAAAGAGAGCGTGAGGAAATAAAGACCAATAAACAATCTACTATGTATGCGTCATCCCTGAGCTAATTGGGCTCGAAAATTGTAACCAAACATTGTAACCATAAATCGCAATCAACCGTAATGAGAATTGAAAGGCCGTTGTACCTTGCGTGCTGTGTATATCCTTGTAGCAAATCTCCTCAAGAAGCTCTGGGTTTTGGTGCGAGGCGTCCCTTGGCTCTGGGCTTTGCTGGTGCCCTCCTCGGCTTGGCAGCCTTGCGGGTGCTGGCAACCTTGCCAGGTGTGTCGTCCGCTCCCTGAGAGTCTTCGAGATTGACCGCTCTTTGACGGCTCTTTCCCTTCGAGAGAGTCTGATGGTCATTGCCAAGCATGGCCTCATCCTTGTCCTCGTCCTCGTTTTCTTCCATCCTGACAGCTTCTTCGCCCCTGTAGTTGACGATTTCATCCATGACCTGCTCATACAATTGTGGGTTCTGCTCCAAAACCCCGCCGCCGTTGTTCTCTGCCTCCTGGAGGATGGCGTTGGAGTAGGCACCTGACTGAAGCCGGCTGCTGATCTTTTTCAACCTGCGCGTCTTCACCGGGGGACCACTCTGGGAATTACTCGTCATGGGCGTCAAGGACTCAGCTACCAAGCCCTTGTCGACTGCGAAGCACTCAAGAGCAGTCTCACCCCACGGAGTAACCCGGCCGCCGCCTAATTCCTTGAATTTACGTGCGACCATACGGTAAAAGTATTTGGAGACAAACCCAAAGGCCTTGAATGCAATGTGTTCCTGTTCTTTGATCAGCATGGTGGTTTGATGATGTTGGTGGGGAAAAGGGGCGAACTTGCATCTCTCGGTGACATCTCTTGGTCTCTGTATCTGCCCCTTTTCACCTGCATTTGCAGGCAAGGAATTTTACGTTCGTCCTGAAATTTTTCGTTGAACTCCGTCATTATTGTATTCCACATGCCCTTCCCCTTCCTGCCCGTGACTATAAAATCCCGCTGCCTCTGGTAAAGAAACCGGGACCGTGGGTCACAGTCCTTCTTGATGACGAAATCGTCGGGAAGATCAGGAATGGGCTCGCCCAGCTGCGCCCGAGCAATGTCAACGGCCGCTGTAGAGTCTGTTGAGGGTGGTGTGGCCCGATCCCTCACACGAGCTTGCCTCGGCACCCGGCCTACAGGCTGGGGACGGCTAGGCTTCGAAGACCCAGATGCTTGCACAATGGGCTCCTGACGAGCAATATGCGTGCTGGGGAGGGAGTATCCGAATTGGCGCCTCCTGGCAGCCGTAGTCTTGAAATCGGTGATGTCGGGTTGTTCTACCCAGGGGTTGTGGTTTTGCTGGGGATAGTATGGCGTGTGGACAGAAGGAGGAGCATGCTGTGGCATCGGCAACTCCGGAGGCATCTGGCCCATCATCGGTTGAGGTTGTATAACGTGATGCGTATTGGGGGACATGTACATCTGAGGCGACATAGACCCTTGGTCCGGCTCCGACGGGGGGGAAACGGAGTAGCTACCCCAGTAGTAGTTTATGGGTGGCTTGGGCATATCGTCTTGTTCTGCCGGGGTGTAGCTCATCTCGAAATGGCTCTCTGAAGTTGGCGGGTGAAGGGGCATGGGAGAGCCAACCTGGCTCTGGGCCGCGCTCATGTTGACAGAATTATGCCAGGGCATCCTTGAAGAGCCACAAGGGCTCGCTTGCGGCTGCATCGGTGTCATCGCGGAGGGATACTGAGACAAGTTGGCACTTTGCTCGAAACAGGGCGAGCCGATGCCGGAGACTGGCGTCAACAGATGTGTCTCGTTAATCTGATGCTGCTGGTCAAAGGTTGTAACCTTGGAATTGTTAGGCTCAAGTCGAGAGGTGGCCGAGGGACACACTCGTTGACCTACAGTGTACGGAGGGCTTTCGAGCTCTGGATAGACCGTGGTATGGGGCTGGATCGTGGAAGATCGGCTGCTAGCCATGTGGTCTGACAGTCCGTCGGAATGAACCGATGTCTGGCCGATGTGGTTTTGGTTTGCCATGATCGAGTGAATGGCGATGTGGATGTCTTGACAGTTGAGGAAGGAAGTGGGCTCAAGGTGTTTAGTAGTGGTATCCTGAGAGAAACTTTGGGGGCGATGAAGCAGCTCTTGCGAGTCTTGTAGGCGCATCTAAGTTTGTGATGTGATTTGGTGTGGGGGAGGGTTTGTCTTGTCCGGGTGAAGATAGGTGTAGAGGGGTGGAGGGGGACCACAGTAATATAGAGCAGAGGATGCAAAACCCGAGTCAGCCTTTCCTGATGCGACTTGTAAAGTGGAAGGGATGGGAAGAGAGCCTCGTGAGGACGGGAGACGGCCGGGGCCTATTAATGACGAGCGATGTGGACAGCCATGATGTCGATCAGAGGTTTGTCCTTTTTTTTCCGCAAGGGAAGCCTGTCAGTCGAGAAGGGCTTGACCAAGTGCCACTCTCGAGGGTTGAAGGCAGCGGGGACCATCGCCAGGGTACGAAAGGTGGCCGGGGAGTAGGTACGTGAGGTACAACATATTTTGGTACCTATCTCAGCAGCACACACAGGCCTGGAGAGGGGGAAGACAGCAAGTGTGTGTGCGAGAGGCGGAGAGGCAGATAGCACGCGAGGGCAAGGGTGTGGGCAGTTCCTCGCAGCAGCGGGCGATAGCCGCCCGGGACTGTCATGAACGGTTAGTGCAACGCTGTAGATGCGGGTCGATGTGCAGCCGAAAGTGCTGGGAGGGGTGTGGGAGGGGGCGTGTGAGAGAATTGGGGGGGAATGAGAGAGGAGGGGAGGCAGTCCAGATAGACGGAAGGCAGAAAGGGAGAGAGAGAGAGCATGCTGTGGGAAAGGGCATGGGGCGCGTACCTGGCTCCACAACTCAATGGACGGGGAAAGATGAACAGGGGATGAATCGAAAAGATTCTCAGAGGTCACTTACCGGTCACTGTCCAGCAGAACTAGAACTGTCTACCTGCCTAGGTAATGCAGCGTCGCATTAGCAGCAGATGCTGCTCAGCCGAGTGGGCATGTTCCAGACCACCAAATACGACTACCTCTCTCACACACCCATCAACCTCGTTAACTGCCTCCGTCACGCCGCTTCAGAGCGCCTAAACGATTAAAAGGTGCAATATGGGTGGACAAGGAAAACAGAACAACTGATGGGCGAGGCTCAGCACAGCAGACATGACTTAGTCTGAGCCCGCCTCTTCGCATAACCGTCTTTATTTCGAGCAGTTGTATCTTGCTAGGGTTGATGAGTAGTGGTGATGTATGGCAGAGCAAGTGAATTATTAGTGAAAGAAAGACTATGACTGGTTGATACCGGCCAAGTGAAGGATATGAAGAACCCCGAGGACAGTCCCCTCGAAAGAAGACAAGACCAGCTTGCGAATACCCGAATTGCGACCACAGTAAACCTGGCCAGCTGGTACATGCGCCAAAGAGATGTAGAAGACAGAAAGACTGGGAGGTTCTTAGCTGTGGGTTAACGCCTTTCCCTCCCAGTCAAGAGACGCGTGCCCGTGCATTTAGGATGACTGGACCGGCTAATGACCTCGGATCAGGCATTAGAGCCCAAGATCTAAAGGAAAGGACCGGATCATCGGGGATCTTATCATCAAAAGCAATGCTGCTTGGATGCCCGTATCCGAGGAGATGGGTGGGTGGTGGTGTGCTGGAACAACTGCAGTCAAAGCGGGTAGCTGTAACAGAGCAGGTGGTCACAGTGAGGATTGGGTGCTATCACTCCGCATAAGGCGTACTTTACGGACGTACTTACGCACGTAACGGAGCCGAATGATGCCAAGACAAGCATGGATCGCCTCTGATGGGGTTGTCCTGCGATGATAATCGCATAGATTCCCCTGGTGGAGAGGGCAGAGGATGAGGAAAGAGGAATTAGATCCGGTCTTGGACACTAACCGGGAAAGAGATCCTTTGGGTGATTTCTCTCAAGTCCGTCAGGAGTACACTACCCCGTAAATGAGGTAAGTAAGCTAGTGGTGGGGGGTAGGAGGAGCTTGGAAAGCAATGCGTGGGTAGCATTGTGTACGCGCAATATGTACATGCGAAGAGGTCGATATTACCCGCAGCCCGCGATATGGCGAATATCAGTCTCGGGAATAGAATTTGTCATGAGAATAAGACAGACGGGGGATGGAGTACGGAGCCATAGAGGGCAGCACAGTAGAACAGAGCAGAGACCGAGGCGGCAGCAGTAGCAGCAGCAGTGATCATGGGTAGCGAACGGCAGTGTCCTTGTCGAAGATAACCTACCTAACGTGTAGTAAGATAGTTTAGGTAGGTAGGTAGGTTAGCGTATCGGTCCAGGTACAGGACCAAGGTCGGGGGTGGCAGAGGAGCGTGGAGGTCGGGGATTCGGGGGTCACCAGAAGGGAAGGGAAACGACCGAGTGTCATTGCCTCGAATCTCTGTGATTGGCTTTAACGGCGGCCGCGACGGGGTCGGCGAGCCGGGGTAGGTGCCCAAGTGGGGCATACTGGTTTTGAGGTACGTACCTCGCCTCATGCCTGCTCTGCTCTGTCAGAGGCATGCATGGATGATTAACTCTACAAGCCGGGCCCGCTTCCGCGCTGAACTGGCCTCACATTCATTCCAGTCCCATCGAGGAAAGTGCCCCGTCATCATCACAGCTCTCTGTTTGGCTATCCGGCACATTCACGACCTTGGCGACATACTCCGCGTCCGTGGTTTTGAGTTTATGGAAACGTGCATTCTTGAGGACACTGCTGCCCGGCTTACCTCGACTATTGGAACGTGACGTAAGTTGCTTTCTCATAGGTGTCCAGCTAGCCCGACTACTGGCCTTTCTTTCGGTGGGCCTGAATACTCGTGATGGTTAGTGTATATTTGGCGATGTTTGCATCGCCCCAGCGAACCTCGTGCGCTAGCCTGCGCCCAGGATCGCGGAACATAATAGCCAGCGCACAGAACCAATTGTAAATCTTGGGGGGTAGGGACGGTGGGGTCTGCCCGAAGCACTGATGTGTGTGGTGTACATAGTGTGTGTATGAGTGTATGGGTGATGCTCTTACAAGTCTTCGGACAAGGAGGAGTCGAGCGAGTCCTCAGGCCATAAGACGGCCGATGTGCATTCCTTGAAAGTGTTCCATCAACATGGAAGATTGGACTGAACGGTGCTTTACAAACTGGAATTCCTTTACCAGCTACCGAGAACTAGGTAGTCGTCGCCAAGAGTTGACATCCTCTTGACAACATGGTTCCTCCCAGCCGAAAAAATAATTAGCCAAGGCGAGGTAGAGGGCGGGTCGGGGGGGTGTGTCCCCTTTGCCTGTGCAGATTTTGCGGCAGCATCCAGACACACCACACACTCCCTGTTCGGAGGTGACATCCGCATCGTTTCGCCTCCTCCCATAACATTGCGTCTCCATGTCATTTCCACGCCTCGCCTCTTCTGTGGAAGTCCGTCATGAGCTGAAGCTGCCGTCGACCGACGGGCCGAGCACTTATGTCGAGCGACCTACCTAGGCAGCTGTGTGCTTTCGTTGGGGATTGGGAACTGTATTCACTTGTTTATCAAGACCAGGACTGCCCAGGTTCCCTCACACTGAAGAGGGGCATATATAAGTGAAAGGGCAGTATAGGCGGGAACCGTTTGATCTGAAGAGCCCATAAGGTGCGGCTGCCCGCCACGATCTGCACTCTATTTCACTCCCGCGAGAGGCCCGCTGCATGATCTAGCTTACCGGTCCAAAACCTTTTATTGTGCGAATCACCTATATTATGAACACCTGGAAGATAAACTCGGAAGCCGATATGAGGGGGTTCGGCACGAATACAGAGTCTGAACAGACGGCCGGCAGCACGCCCCCACAGGCCAGACCGGTTCATACGCCTCCCCCTTTCCTTCTTGGAGCACGCCTCGTCAAGAGGGAAGAAACGGGCTGATTGGCAACGACATACGAAGCTTAGAGGCCCTTGAGCATGCGCTCCGATTGAGGGAACCCGGACAATGAAGTTCCAAGTGGAGTAGCCAGTGTAAAGAAAGAGAGAAGGAGAGGAACGCGACAAACTACTGCAGAAGGAGAGGAGAGGGGGAGAGACGGTCACAGAGCCAATACGCTCAGTTCTCATCTTTTTTTTTACCATCAGGGATATCCCTGCTAGCGCGGACCCGACAGTCTGGTTCACCCTAGACTAGCGTTGAAACTAGTGGATCCGAGGACCATGCGTAGCTATCATTGGACCGCCTGGAAGCCTTTTTGTCAGGGCGATGGGGGGTTTGAGTTGAGCCTAAGGCCGCAGAACATAACCTTTACCCCCCTTCCCTCCCATTCTTTCCCACCCCCTTCCATGCCCCACTCGCTTCGCTGTCTGCTCACTCCACCCATCCCCACTTGGTTGTGCACACCTCACTGGTCAGAGACCGATCCTAGTATTCGGAGTTAGCGCGCGTCTGTTTACTCGAACGTGAAGCTTAAGCGGTGCCTGCCATTCACGGCGCAGCTGTCACCTCCAGAAGGGAGCTTTCTCACGTCGAGCAAGCCGCCAACCGTTCATCACCAACAGCAAACTACCAACAGCGCACGCCTTTGTCCAGTTTTTAACCGCGATATCTTACGCCCACCCACCCTGCCAGGACTCGCGCGCCGCGCTTGGGCTTGCGCAGTCTAACACGCCACCCGCCCTGCTGCAGAAATGTCCCCCAACTTTGTTGCTCCTGGCCGCCGATGCCGCCGTCGCCTTCTCCTCCTTTCTCGATCACATCTTCCCAGATGCGGGTGCCGGGCCATGTCGCATCCTTGATGATCCAAGTCCCTGCTGATGCTACGCTTGCTTCGAGGGCAAACGAGTTCACGTCATCTCGCCCTAGCGTGACGGCCCTTTCCTCATGGCTTTAGGCCGACGGTACCTTGCAGATCACTCTTTTGACGAGTATGTGCCGGTACAGAGGGCTGAGTTATGGTCTGAGGCTTCGCAATGTAAGCCCAGAGTCTGTGCCACAACAAAAAGCCCCTCTGTACCGCTTAAGTCTTGCTGTGCCCCTTTCGTCACCTACTCATAGCGATCCAATATTGCTGGCCGGCTGTTGAGGCGACCAGGTGATGGAACCAAAACTGGCAGTAGGTAAGGGCCAACCTGGCTGCTAGACTCAGGCTCGGCCGTCTCACGAGGCCTGAGGCTCTCCGTTGGTGGTCAGGTCCAGGGTCGTCGACAGACCCAGAAAACCTTACCGGCCAGAAAACAGCCTGACAAGGAGACAATCGCAGCCCCGGAATCGAGTATTCTGCAATCTTAGCGCCCAGTTCGCATATTCTGTCGCCGCTATTGGCCATCGTCACCTCATCACGCTGCTGATCGCGTCTGTCACAGGCTCCGGGCGCGGTTACTGACCTCTCCTATCACGATCTAGTCAGCCTCGAGCCAACGCTGCCTCGACTTCGCTTGAGGCACTGCCTTGTGCGTCGCATTGCACCTTTGCATGCACGTTGAGCGCTTCCAGTCTGTCGGGTCTTGATCAAGCAGCTGTCTCACGTTGAAAATCTTACTGGAAGTGCCATGACGAAAGTATCCACAGCACAGCATTCTCTGCTGGGCTCCGGCGGCGCAGCTCGTTCGACTCTAGCTACAGAGAAATATTCTGAAAGTTTCTGGCGACAAGGTCGCGCCAAAGTAGCCGATCAGCAGCCACCTTCACACCGGATAGCCAACCGGGCGCCAGCGTCCAGATACAACGCTCTTGACTGCCTGCCAAGGTATGACTTGCCATCGAAGCCCTGGACGAAAGACAAACTTCAGGTAGCGAAGTCCGCTCAGACTGCCGGCTATCGTGCCGCAACAAGCATTGCACGTTTCCGTCCGAGATTTTCAGTAGAAATGGGCCTGACGCTTGCCGTCGCTGCCCCGTGCAACCCCGAGATTCCACCAGCCTTCGCAATCAATGAAGTCTAACGGCCCGGACTGGCCGGCTACCCCTGAGACATGAAGAAGACAGTTCGGGGGTACAAAGAGATACAGGATGAGACGCCCTTCACCCCCTCCATGGGTTCCCCTACCCTCATGCGGGTGGCGCGGTGCTCCACGTACGTCTTTGACGAGCCATTTGCCTTCGGGGGATGTCCTCCAACAAGGAGCATGTACTGTACGATGAGAAACCACACAACCCTCGGCCTTGGGCAACTTGCTCAGACCTAAAACGACTCAATAGAGCCGATCAAGGCAGCTCTTTCTGGAAGAAGGTGCAGCCGATTGTCGGACGGTCAGATAGGCCTACCCTCCCATCCTCCCATCACTTGGCCCGTTTGGACCGGGTTCTGTCAAGACCTCTCACACTGACGAGGGGTTTTGAGACAACCAGATACTTCCTGGGAGCCGACGCCTCTTCGTGGATTCTGTCTACTTCTCGACCAATGAAGCTACGCCATAACGAAGCAAACTATCCATCTTCAGTGCTGGTAGCCCCCATTAAGCTGCTGTCGCCATCCCTGAAATCCACGAATCATGGGCGACAGCTCCATTCTGCGCCGTGACAAGTCTCTGCAACCGTCATGGATGTCATGGATAGCCATTGTTCGAGTTCTGGAGAGGGGGGTGGAAATACCCAAGACTATGGTGGTTCCGAGTGGAAGAAGTTACCATGACTGGCCTAGTCTGGGCGGACAAGGGCGGGCGTCAAGCCCACTTGCCGGTTGCGCCCGTAAGAGCCCTTTTTCTTCATACCACATCTGGAACAGCGGAAAACCATCACCGGGGAAAGAAATAATCTCTTTCTAGCTCTTCTGAAGACTCGGGTGGGAGGAAAAAAAGCAACAGCATCACCTGGCTCATCCGCGGGATGATGTCGTATGGACAAGTCAGGCGCCTCAGTCCAAGTCTCAAACACTGTGTCCTTTGTCGTGCTCTGTTCTCACCTGAGCCATGGACGGGAAAGGCGCCGCCAAGGGCCGTAAGGATGTCCCCTGAGCGTTTCAAAAGCCGCCGTTGGTGTGCGTGTGAGCCCTTGCTAGGCTTCTATACGGACAATCAGCACTCTAATCTAGACGAACAAGATCGACGGATTACCACTGGAGAAGCGGCTCACTGAATGAGTATGATGGACATGGCCGGTGTCGACAAACAGGATCGATCTCCTTTCTGGCCCACTCCTAATGTTCTTGGGGGCTCCGCCGCACGAAAATGTCCAGTTCTATTGCCCGAGTTGCTTGTCTGGGGCGGTGATGACATTGGGAGGGAACAAGGCCTTGCAAGGCGTTCTTTCCATTTGTTTCCCCTGTATTATAGCTCATTGACCGTTTCGTTGTTGTGACTGGCCCTCGACGTGGGAGGCCACAACAGAGGCCCGAAAACGCGGCCAAGTGCCTGCAAAGCCCCGTGCCCGCTTCCACGGTGATTCCGAACGTCGAAAGAAGCGGCCTCCCATGCCGTTCTGCAATCGGCGGAGGTGTCTCTGCGTAACCTGGCAAATTGAGTCTCCCCACTGACGAACCTACAATCCATCTTGGAAGTTCTTTGGGTTAGTTAGCCGGTCGTTCCTCGAGGAGTCCGGCACCCTTGCTGCTGTGCCAGCTACTTCGCACCCCAATCTTTCGGCCGCAGTCTTGGACCTGACTTATTGCATTGTACAGTAAAACCTCGCTCCTTCTGTGGTCTTTAATCATATCTCCTATGGTACCCAAAACTGCGACCGCACTGCTTCAGCTCCGCAGCAACGCCCATCTGAGTCCATTTGCAGGCACGAGGCACACAAACAGTTCTCCGCCCACTTGCCGTTGCTATTTCTTTATTTTACAGCCTTCCGTGTATTTCCTCTCCCAAATTAGGGCAGCTCGGGTGGCGGAGTGACGGATCCATGCCTGGGGCTGTGAAGCTCCGCAAGGGGATGGACAACCAAAAGGCCAACCAACCAACCGACGAATGGCCCCCGACTTTCGAACATCACACGAAGAGCAGCGAAAGAGAGAGACATCATCTTGCAGTCAATGGCAGACGACCGAAGCCGCGAGCTTCGTACCCACAAGCGTTAAACAAGCGCAGCGATCCACAAGAACCTCTCTGCTGCTCTCGAGACGCTGCTCCTGCATCCACTCACCCCCCCTTCTCCACGATCGAGAATAGCAAGAAAGTCCCGCAGAAGCTAAGGTTGCTTCCGGCCGCCACTCCGGCTTATTATTGCGGCACAGGGCAGGAGAATCTTCTCAGAGGTCGTCATCGGCGACCTGTTTGGATGACTGGCATCCTGCTCCGCCCTTGACATCCGTCTGCCCCCTCCCCCCCGCGACGACTCGAACCCCGACCTCGCCCCTCCTACTCGAACGATTCCCTTGGTGCCTAACAGACAATGGGACCGAACCGAGCTCCGCGGCACTGCCGAGATCATGCTTCGTCCATCCCCACGACCCTCGACCCCAGGAGCGGCCGAGGAACTGGACGAAGGTGTGACTGTAGGCCGACTCTCCATTCCCACCATACATCGTCTGTTGGACAGCAGAAATCTACCTCACCAATGACGAGAATAATAGAACGCCTAGCCAAGACCCATCAACTCGCCGCCAGCCGCCCTCCCGCTCCTCCCACGATGAAAAAAGCGACGGCCATAGTCGCAGGTCGAGGTACTTCTCGACGTCATACAGATACACAACCCGCCAGGGAAAAGAGCCGCATACTTGGGTTGTTGAACCAAACCCAGACCCCAGGGCGTTGATTTCCCTACCGTCGCTGAATAAGGGGAAGAAAACACACTAGCACCTACAACTAAGTCGATTCAATACCATGGCAGTCCCGCCCGCTGGGCTGTTATAGGAGCGGTCTGCGGCCGTCCGGCACGAGGCGAGAGAACCCCGAGGAGGGGGGAGTTGCTGTATAACCTCATATCTCTTGCGTCCCTACAGTGCTTCCTCTAGACGGGAGTTGTAGATGGGAGGGCTAGGGGTATCAGGCACTGCATTTGCTTTCCAATGCGCGGCATCGCTCGCTGGTTGATGTTACCCCCCAACCCCCCTTCGTGCCAGGCAGGACGAGGAGCCGTCTCGGTTTCGGGAAGGTCATTAGCTTCTGCGTGATCGATGTCCTAAGTAGGGCACTCCTCCGAAACGAGAGGAGGAAAGAAGCAAGGAAAAGAAAAGACGGCGCCGATCCGGCCTCGCCCCAAAGTGAACTATCGTATGCGCAAAGCCGTGCCCGCTTGATGGGCTGTGTTGTTTACCTCGACTGCTGCATGCTGCATGGCCCGTCACTATCCGGGCGCGAGCTTGCGGCCGAAAACACCACTTGGCAGCATGGCGCAGATCAGTTCCGGACGATAAGATATTGCCGCGGCGGGATGTCTGGATGCCCGAGAAGGCGCCTTGATCGGGGAGTATTGGGCCGCATGTCATGGCATGCCTCCTCCACCTTCTATTTCGCCAAAATATGTCTCAGAAGATGTGATCCAGGAACGTGGTCGCCTCACGTGCGTCAGGAGGGCGACCTGTCATTGAACAGTGTCACTGTTTGCCAAGACCAAGAGATAGCACGGTCAAAAGGCGTCGTCGAATTAGATATTGTGAATTCAAACTACTCTGCAGCTAACTATGGCTGTCTTCGAGACTGTGTGTACTCGCGGATCATATGAAACCTGCACCTGCTATTGCCAATGCTTTGATAATCCCGCGAACAGAAACAGAGAAGCCTCTCGAGGATGGAATGAAAAATACGTAGAAGACGGCCGCCCAAACCGAAACAACAATCCCATGTCGACTCATCATGTCGTGTAGCTCGTTGTCGAATGTCCGCGTTATTATACCGTCGTCAACAGACCGTGTTAAGAAGCCAGCGTAAAGAAACAGTACAAGGAAAAATAGTATACGAACGGGATTCTCTTCTTGTGAGGTTTCCGTTCCGGGATATCAATAGCAAAAACAGGTGAAAAATCGACAGAAAAACTTCGTCCTCTGGATGTTCGGGTGACAGGATATCCGCAACTGGTCGATATCGCCGACCATGGGGCGGGTATGAGAGAATCGCCTAGAGCTGCACACCTGGTCACTCATCCCCGGACCCCAACGGGGCCCAACGCAACATCTGCCGAGGGGCGTTCACTCACCCCTTTCAGGCAGAATGCAGGTCAGACTGTCCGCCGTCAGTCCGCAGTTCTGAAACCCGCCCCCAGTATGCAGGCATTCTTCCCTCAATTCGGACTTCCTGGAAAGAGTCATGGCTCTGATAGATACTGTCTCGCGTCAGGTCAAGTCCTACGCGCCCTCGAGAGGCTGCACGAAGTTGTAGTTGAAGTCCAGTAGGCCATCCAACATCCAGTGCTGTGGGTCAAAGAAGTCGTAATTGGTTTCGCCGTAATTGAGGCCGCTCAGCATGCTGTTGCTGGGTGCCTGGCTGCCGATTCCGCCAGAGTGGCCTGGGGTAAGAGCTTCGTTGGTAGAAAGCAGGCTGTTCGCTTGCAGTCCTTGGGTGGCCGGCATGAGAGTACTGTCCAAATGGGTCGATGACGCTGAGGACTCGTTCGCTGAGTCTGGATTAGTAGGTTGTTTCATGGCTATTTCGGGTGGCACGTAAGTCAGTCATCACAGTCACACCGAAGAGAGACGTGGATGCAATGGCTAGAGCACGGGAAGGGGAGGTGGAAGCGGAGTTCATAATTACCGTCAATCGAGCCTCTACCTTGGGCTTGATACTCTTCTCTCCATCGCCAGACAGAGTCGAACACGAGACTCATGCTGTGGCGACAGCGCACCTTCAACTGCAATGTGTCGTCAATGTGCAGTGGAGAGTCGTCGTTATCGAAAGATGCCGTGCTGTTGGTGTCGAGCCGGGCTCCATTCCACATTTGCACCATCAGCTCGGCTAAGCGCCACTGGAGGTCGTTGTTGACAACGCTTGTCGCGCGGATGGCGTTGATTGTCTGGTGGAAGAGGTTGCGGCCGCGATCATAGTCGATTGTCTTTGCAAAGAACGACCGCATAAGCTTGAGCAGAGCAAACCCTGCCGCAATCAACATCTGCTGGATATAGTTTGTCGCATATAGTAAAATCTGTCCGGGCGAGTTCTGCCCGGGTGATGTGACCTTGTCGACCTCAAGAATATTGTCCAGGAAACTTGTCGTGGCTCTCCAAAGTCCCATGAGATCGTCGATGTAGCCAGGTGTCGTACTCGAATCAAAGAAGCCAGCCAAGCGCAGGTGAAGGGCGGCGGCTCGCATATGGAGATTCACAATGGGCCCTAATTGTTGCGAGAGGATGGATGCCTGGAGTTCGTTGAAGTCCTTGCGGTACACCCGCATCAACATGGCTCGATGCTCGTCACCGGCGACCCCCCGAGGATCGCTGGCATTGCTGTACATCTCCTTGGAGACCTTATCGCAAAAACGTTCTATCTGGAGCCTGGCCTCTAATTCGGGGGTCAACCGGAATGGCCCGTCCTCTCCCCGACGAACAGCAAGTGTCCAATCGTAGAGGGTTGAGGCCGGTTGACCGTAGCCAGTACCGATGCTTTGGGCGACGATGTTGCAGACAGCCCATGTTGTTACGCGGTCATGCAGTTGTTCTTTGTTGAGATCGACTGACACCCTAGAAAAGTCTTGACTATGGTTAGGTCTATGAAGGCCAATACCCGTCGCAACCTTCATCATGACGCCGCACAGAATATGTGTCGGATCAGCGCTTGTCGTGCTTGTTGGCAGAGGCCATGTGCACAGCAAACACAGAGCCTTGACAACGAAGTAGCTGCTGGGGACGTCTCCAATGGTTGACCATAACAACCTTGTCAAAGGCCCTGATATCGAAGTCAGCAGCGTGGGGTCTGCGCTATACCGACGAGCAGCAACCGAGATGATTGACCAAAACAGCAGAGCGTGTTGTTGAAAGTACTGGTCGGGTGTCTGTTGAGGGTTGAGGAATGGCAGGAAAGGATGGTAGAATGCGAAGAATTCGTTGAATAGCTGATTTACGGACTCTTCGGTCAGACGGACATTCTCGAGCTCGTGTGTGTAGCGCGGCAGACTGTAGGACCCGCCCCTCTTGAGGTGTAGCAGCGAGGATACCGCCTCGTCGGAGCCCATAAGAGAGGGGTTCCTGGTGTGGGTATACACGCTCGTTGCGATGGGAGACTGGAGGTCGTGATCGTCGTCGTCGATAGTGTAGCCCTGGTTTTGGGCGCGTGCAATGTTGCGGCGCAATCTGTCGATTTCCTTCTCCATCTCGGCATGCTTCGAACGCTTGCCGACACGCTTGAAGTTTGACTCAATCTTGCAGTCGAGCTTGAGACGATTACACCGGGAACAACTCTGAAAGGGCTCTTGCACAACGTCGCATCGCAACTGTTCCGATTGAGGGTTTGTCAGTCGAATGACTCCTGCAATGGATCATCGTTCGTAAGGTGACTCACCTTTTGTTGACGGCACTCGTTGCAAGCGCGTTTCACGCCGGGCTGGCGTTTTTTAGAATCTGGCTCGCCATTTTCGTCGTCATGACCTACATTGCTGCCCGGGCTGCTATCCAAGGCCATTGTGCTGTGCTTCCTTTTGGGGGGCCCGTTGGGAGCATGACGAGTGTTCGTGGGACTGGCGGGCGAGACGGGCGTGGCCCCGCCGGCAGCGACGATGGCCAAATCATCCATGCAGGGCACGACGGATGGTCAGTCGGGGTGAGACAAAACAAGACGCAGCAGAGGCGGGTTCGGGGACCCCCTCCCGAGCCGGGCGCGGCGTGAGGTGCGGTCGGAGCTCGCAGGAGAGACTCGGCAATCGGAGATGTCTGTAACGGTGAGCGAAACTCACTGGGGCGGCGGTCCGGTCTCGCGACGTGTGTGTTGGAATTGTTGATGTGAGGTGGGAGCTGGTGTGGCCGAATGCGGAGGGCGGGGAAGTTTGCTTTCTGGTTTTGACCTGAAGAGCGAGGCAAGATTTGCTATGGAGGAGGACCTACCTCGGGGGCCTCTTTGCGCCAGCCCAGCCCAGCCCAGCCCAGCCGTTGTACTTTTTTCTTTCTTTTTTTCTCTCTTTTTAGAGGGGAAGCAGCGGGGATGACTGGTATCCGCCTCCCATTGGTTGTTTTGGTCTCCATCTCCCCGCTTTCGTCTTCTACAACGGGCGGGGTCAGCAAGCTGTTCGCACATGCCAGCTGCCTGATAAGGAAAGGCCTGTTACCTAGTGCTTCTGAACAGGCAGATCGCAGTAGCTGTCAAAAGCGAGAGAGCACAGATAGGTATGCCGTGAGCCCCTGCACTCAGTACAAATGCTCATGTATTGAGAGAGCAGATCCGATTGAGAAGACAATCAAGGCTAAAGTGGGATTAACGAAATCTGCTGGTCCGATATCGTTCGCGTTTCCCATGATTACCCACACACGCCTAGCTTTGCACCCGGGGAATTATTCCCACACGCCCGCATGCGTGGTTGTCGTTTTGCCTAAAACCAAAGTGGGAACTGTACGTAGTAGGTCAAAATTGGGTCGGTGGGCGGGTGAGCGCCAGTCCTGAGTGGCTGGTTGCTAATGGAAAGGCGTGATGGGTCTTTCCTCTGACTACCTCCCTACTCCGTACTATGTAATCACAATTGAAGAGGGGTCATCGATAGCTCACGTCTCGACTAGGTACCGGTACTCCCTTCGCCATGGCGGAAGCTCAAGGCTGACCCTACCGGGTTTGTTTCTGATCAGACGAAGGCAAATCTCAAAACAGGCCCGGAAACTTAACTCGCAGCATTCCTAAAGCCCATCAAAAAACTGCATCTGGTCGATCCCTAATTACCTCATTGCTCACGTCACTGTGCGATTTCGGCCATGGCAAAACAAGAAACAAAAGAAGCTCCCAAGCTACCAGTGAAGGTCGACTTCGCGTTGCCGCCTCTGTACCAAGGCAATGGCTCCTATACCGAAAATCCCAAAGGTGTCCGCGACGTCCAGTTTGCTATGCCAGGGTCGCGAACCAAGCCAGGTGAGACCGTATGTTTCGGACACCACAGGCGCTTCGAAACTGACTGTTGTCGCAGTCGAAGTACTCCACGTAGACTCGACGGCTGTACCTCAGCCATTCGTTGATCCAGCTGTCTTCAAGAAATGGAGCGGCAAGTCTTGACTACCGAGAGACAGAGTCGAAACCGAATCGTGATGATGTGAGGGATTGCCACGCAGTAAACGTAGACCTTGCGGCATCGCGGCTGTTGAGAATTGGAAGTACAGAATCCCAACGATATATCATACGATGGTTGAGAGGCGATGCGCCAGTGATCAAGCTTGGTGTTTCTATCTCTACTCTCGCTACCAGAGTGTGCCCGCTTTCTATAGCTGCCCCCGGCATCTGAAAGCCCAGCATCACGATTCATTCTGCTTGCATTGGGAAGCTTTGGTCACCTCCCGGCACATTCCGGCCTAACTGCTTCTTAGTCGAGGTACACCCAAACAAAATATGGTGAGCACAAAGGACTCGCGCGGGGCCACATCCTTATTGTCGGAGCTGCATCATGCCTACGCCTGTGACAAGGGTCCAACTGCACTATTGACTGTTGGACCTTGGGTCTGAAGTGTGGTGTATGCTTCATGAACCGACCGTCGCCAAAATGGGGCGTCAGTTGGCCGGCCTCAACTTGGTCAGTACATGGACGTATCCACCTCTGGGTCGCTACCCGAAACCACAATCAGTCGTAGGATGGCTGAATTGTGCAGAATACCGTCCACTTGTTCGTCCAGATTTGAAGCGATTGGACACATGGCCCATGAAGAGTCGGGAAGTAGGTATCCGCAACTAAGCAGCCCAAAGTTTCTCACCCCACCTTCAGAGTGCGGGGGCTCTGTGCACTAGGGGAAGACGGCATCAAGAAGGGCAAGGGTCTGAAGCTAGCAAGTGTTCCATGCCGATTGAGAGTACCATGCCGCCGATTGTACTACCGGTATGTACTATAAGAATCCCGTTGCCAGCTAGAATTAACTTCTGTCACTCCTTTTGGCTGCAATAAAACCTACTCCGTCATCCTTTGTCTCCCTCCGTGATACCTTCCGTGGCTTAGCTCGTCCTCCGCATCACATCCAGTCAATGTCGACTCAAACCAACAGCACCTCGTCAGGAGGGGACTACATTGTCCCCTTCTTCATTGACGGGGGAAAGATCACCTCTGAAAAGACTTTTGACGTCGTGTCCCCCGCCACTGGGAAAACTGTCCACAAATGTGGCAGCGCAACCGAGAAGGATGCCCTTGCGGCAGTTGACTCTGCCGCCGAGGCTTTCAAGAGCTGGAAAAAGACGACCTTGGTCCAGCGCCGAGACATTTTTCTGAAGACCGCCGCCATTATGGAGAGCCGCAAAGAGGAGCTGGCACGCATCATGTCGGAAGAGACTGGCGCGGCTGCTGGGTGGTCCGATTTCATTCTAGGCCTGGGCATTGGCTGCATCAAGGACGTCGGCGGACGCCTCGTCACAGTGGAGGGTTCCGTTCCGGCCACTAACGATCCTAACCTCAGTGCCATGGTCTTGAAGGAACCTTACGGAGTCGTTCTCGCAATTGCGCCCTGGTCAGTAGACCGTGCTTGGTGGCAGTGACGCTGGAGCTAACTTGGCGTCAGGAACGCCCCTTTCATACTGGGAGCAAGATCTGTGTCATTTCCCATCGCAGCTGGCAACACAGCTATTCTCAAGGCGTCGGAGTTTTCTCCGCGGACACTTGTAGAGATGGTGGCTTGCTTCCACGAAGCCGGCCTGCCCAAGGGTGTGCTGAACGTGATTACTCACGAGCCTGCCAACGCCGCTGCCATCACAACAGCTCTGATAGCCCACCCTGAAATCAAGAAGATCAACTTCACCGGAAGCACCGCCGTCGGGCGCATCATCGCCAAGCAGGCGGGAGAGCACCTGAAGCCAGTGTTGCTCGAACTGGGAGGCAAGGCTCCGGCTATCGTGTGGGAGGATGCCAACCTTGACCTAGCCGCGGACCAATGTGCAATCGGCTCTTTCCTCCACGGGGGACAGATTTGCATGAGCACGGAGCGCATCATCGTTCACAAGAAGGTCAGCGAGCAGTTCCAGACCAAGCTGTTTGCCTCGATCGAGAAGATTTTCCCATCGAAATCCGACGCGCCCGTTCTGATCAACGCGGTCGCCGTCGAAAAGAACAAGAAGCTCATCAAAGATGCCGTCGGCAAGGGCGCCGCCGTCGTTGCGGGCAGCGTCGATGCTGAGGAAACGTCTAAGACCAGGCTGCGGCCAATCGTCATCAAGAACGTCAGCACAGATATGGACATCTACAAGACCGAATCTTTTGGTCCGTCCGTGTCGCTTTTCGAGGTCGAGACTGAAGAGGAGGCGCTAAAGATCGCCAACGACACCGAGTACGGTTTAACCTCTGCTGTCTTTACAGAGGATCTGCGTACAGGTCTGCGCTTCGCCAAGCAGATCGAATCGGGAGCCGTTCACATTAATAACATGACTGTTCACGACGAGAGCGGCATGCCCCATGGTGGCGTCAAGTCCAGCGGCTTTGGCAGATTCGGTTCGACAGGCCTGGAGGAGTGGGTGAGGACGAAGACGATTACATACCGGAACTGAGTCTCATTGTTCCTAGCGCTAAAAACCTACCTGGTCTGATGAAGTTGGGATGTATCAGCCCCTGATCTTGTTGTACGTCCAGGCCTGGAGCTGCGCAGCCTAGTGTTCTCGGACATCAAATCGTGATATCCCATACCCTCTACTTCTCGTAATTCACAGCATGAGGTTGACCGAGACTATCAATGCAACCCATGCAAATCTTTTTGAATCGCCTTTCGGCAGCCCAAACACACATTCAAGGCTAACGATCGAGGTCGCCAAATGAATATTCTCTTACGCTGTCAGGTGGTTAGTCTAAGGCTAGGATAGTTGGAGTAATCCCACTATCACCGGTGACAGCGAGGGGAACAATACATTTTCCAAACCACAGTATTCGAAAATCCTTCCGAGTATCCCTGGGGAAGGGGGATCGCGGAAGTCCTCCCTGTGAGCGAAGCTCAAGTAGAGCAGCCTGTAGCAAAACTCGCGCTCCCCTAACTTCCCGTCCGTGAGACTTCTAGTTGATCCCCAGGTTGATTGACGGGCGCAAAGCTCCTAACTCCCCGGAAAGGGAATCGATGACAGGCACAAGTTCTATCCGAAGAGATAGCATGCATAATCAACTTTCCTGGATTGTACAGGACTTTTCGTTCCTAAGGTTGACTCGTGTACGTCCGTGACTTCGTTAGGTAGTGTTGCTGAGACCGACTGAAGCCTCCGAACTGATTGGTAACCAGACGAGCAAGCCCGTGCACTGTCAATTGGCGCTAGACCCCTCCTATCAGGCAGCTCTACGGATAGAGATCCTTGCATCGCAAATTCGAGCTCGCTCTCGAGACCTTCAGGTCGAATGGCATGACATCCAATTACCAACAATTTGCGCCATGCTTCCCGCACGGGCTGTCCGACCAGCCTTCCGCGCGCTGCCGAGCCTCCGAGGTCCGTCAATAAGGCCGCATCACCTTCCGAGACAATGGTACTCCTACAAGAGACCCGCCGGCGCGCCAGTCACGCCCTCCACCGCCGAACATGACCTCCCCGACCACCGAAAGCTGGGCATTAAGCAGGAGCTCTTCACCACCTCGGTCTACAGTCCCGGCTCGCCGATATTCCTCCCGCACGGCACGCGGGTCTTCAATCGCCTGGTGGACTTCCTGCGGCGGCAGTACGTCCACTACGGCTTCGAAGAGGTCATCACACCAAACATCTACAAGAAGTCCTTGTGGGAGCGATCGGGCCACTTGCAAAACTACGCCGACGACATGTACACCGTCACAAGTCGTGCGCGCGCCCCCGAGGAGAAGGCAGCTGGCTGCTGCGAGGCCGACGGCAGGAACCCGCCGCACGAGGGCAGCGGCGAGACAGCCCGGACGGCCGAGGGCGAGGACGACGACTACGGCCTCAAGCCCATGAACTGTCCGGGCCACTGCCTTATTTTTGCCTCCAAGAATAGGAGCTACCGCGACCTGCCCATCCGCTTCGCCGACTTTAGCCCGCTGCACCGCAATGAGATCTCGGGGGCGCTTAGCGGCCTGACGCGCGTGCGTCGGTTTCACCAGGACGATGGCCACATATTCTGCCGGCCGATCCAGATCCGTGAGGAAGTGTTCAAGACGCTCGACTTCATGAAGACGGTCTACGGCGCGCTGGGGCTGGATTACTTCGACTTCGCGCTGTCGACGCGGCCGGCCGACCATTACATCGGCACGGATGCCGAGTGGGAGCGGGCGGAGGGGCAGTTGCGCGATGCGCTGGAGCAGGCCGGGCTGAAGTATACCATCAAGGAAGGGGATGGTGCCTTCTACGGCCCAAAGATCGATGTCATGCTCCATGATTCCCACGGGAAGTCGCATCAAGCCGGTACGATCCAGCTCGACTTCCAGCTTCCGCAGAGGTTCAATCTCGAGTACAAAGCGCCGGCGCCCAAGTTGGAGGCTCAGGGGTTGCCGCTGGAGAACGCTGACCCGGCCGAGCTCGAGACGTACGGGCCAGTCACACCCGTCATGGTGCACCGAGCCATCTTGGGCTCCGTCGAGCGTCTAATGGCGCTACTGATCGAGGAGTACAAGGGCAAATGGCCCTTCTGGCTCAACCCACGCCAGTGTGCTATCCTGACCCTGAACGATACGGAGCCCGTGGTCCGTTGGGCGTCAGAAATCAAAGACACCTTGACAGGTCACGACCGCGCGAGGGACCCAAATAAGCCGGTACAACCCCGTCCGACGGGGTTTGCGGTTGACATCGACGTGAGCCCACGGACGCTGCAAAAGAAAATAGCAGAGGCGAGTGAGAAGGGGTACGGCGTCATCGCCATCGTGGGAAAGAAAAACGTCGAGAGCCGGACCGTGACGGTACAAATGGGCGAGCGGCTGTCCAGCGAGACCGACGGCACGAAGAAGCCTCGGGAGGACATGTCGGCCTTGGGTTTGCGCCTCAAGATGCAAGAAATGGTTGAGACGTACCAGTAGGCGACAACGCGCGCCTTGTATAACGAAATGTAAAACTGTAAACTACTCCCTGTGACAACGCATTTGGAGCGTTGTGTTCTAGAGCTATGATGCAAATAGACCGCCGATAAACCTCCTCAGAAGCCCGCCTGACAATACAGTGCCGTTTCTCAGCCCATGCCGTAGGTATCTCTCCACCGGGAACCTCAACTCCGTAATTGAACCCCAACGCAAGTCAAAAGAAACAACCCTTCGTCAGCTCCTTGACAAGTCACCTGGTCCTGTTGGAGGTGCTGTTCGCCTGCTGGTGATACAGTGGCCTGGAGACGATGATCAGTCAAAACTCGACGCTTCTGGTTGGGCCGGCCCCTCAGATTGAATGAGTACTTACCGCTTGTACTTCTCATCGACCTCACCGCCAGTGCTCTCGATGCGATCCACCAACTCCTGGCGCTGTCTGAGCTGCTCTTTCATAAACTCAACAGTCTTCTTTAGAACGAGACCCTCGGAGCGCCCCTGGCCCTCCAAACCGGGCACCAGCTCTGTCAGACGGTCGAAGCCCTCACGAATGGCCTGGCGTCGCTTCTGTTCTGTGGACGCGTGTTAGTCTTGCTGTGGGGTGCGCCCAAGGTGATGGCCGGTCAGAAGCGTGACGCATGGCCAAGCCTTTTCTGACCCTTTACACAGAGAGCTGTACTTACCAGAAGCAATGTGATTCTGCTTCTTCTCCGCCTCGGTGAGGCGCGGCTTTTCTTCTGGCTGCTCAGCATCTGCAGCAGCTGACGGGGAGTTGGACTTGTTCGGAGAAGACATGATGCGCAGCGCAGTTTGTTTCTATTCGGAGACGAAAGTGTCGTCAGTGGGATCACGTCAAAAGTATCAATATGGTGGTCTGGTCCAATGTTGAGAAGGGGAGGCTGTGGTGTTTCGCACGATCACATGCAGTTTCGTGTTTCTAAGATCGGATCCTCCCTCCCTCTTGCAGGATTCCCTACACTAGGTAGGCAGATACACTAACAGGTCAAGAACACCCCCCCCCCCCCGCCCCCCTGTATGGCAAGGTTCCTGCAGCACGTTTGTTTCCGTCTGCAGGGCTGGCAGGCAGCTGAACAGCCAATGCTCCTAAACAGGTACTTTGCACATCCCTTAGGAAAGAACAGATAAGATAAAGAACTGTGGATTCAGTGGGGTATTGCACGGTCCCCCAGCTGGTAGTGACCTCATCGGCATTGTGATTGCTCATCCAGGAATTCTATGGGTGCAGGCCCACAACCCGCCAAATCTCCTCTCTTTTCCGATAAGTGCCCTCGGTCATATTCTCATCTGATCCGAACGAACTCTCGGAACGGACGACAAGCTAAAGACAACTCCATTTCTCCCAATTCCCCTCCACTCTCGAAGCCTCTCCCATTCCGCGGGCCCGTTTGTCCTGTGGCTTCGCATACACCAAAAATGGCCGACACGAAGACTACCCTCAATACACCACCCGCATATATCAAGGCCACGGAGCACCTGAGCCGACCCCGTGCGCCTTCCGCTGCCGCTGGTGGTCCCGGCCCGCGGACGCCACTACCACTCAATCTCCCTATCATCTCTTACCTCAAGTCCAAGCGCGTGGTCCTCGCCTCTGCCTCGCCGCGGCGGCGCGCCCTCCTTGCGCAGGTCGGCCTGACGAATCTCGAAATCACCCCCTCAACAAAACCCGAGGACCTCGACAAGTCGGCCTACGGACCTTACGAGTATGTCTCCGAGACGGCGCGGAAAAAGTGTCTCGACGTGTACGAGACGGCTCTGCAGACGCACCTTGCCTCGATCCCGGACCCCGACGTCGTTATCGCCGCCGACACTATCATCGTAACCCGCGACGGCCGCGTGCTGGAGAAGCCGCGTAGCGAGGCCGAGCACATCAAAATGCTGCGCCACCTAAGGGATACTCGCGTGCACCGCGTGCTGACATCCGTGTGCGTGATCGCGCCGAGAGAGGACGCGCGGTCGCCGGGCTACGAGATTGGGAATCACACTGAAGAGACCAAAGTGTACTTTGCGCAGGAGAACAATGGACTGCCAGACGATGTCATTGAGGCGTACGTCAAGACGAGAGAGGGCGCTGACAAGGCGGGCGGATACGCGGTGCAGGGCATCGGTGGGATGCTGCTCGTTGAAAAGATCGAGGGCAACTTTGACAACGTGGTCGGCTTGCCCGTGAGACAGACGCTGGCGCTCACGGAGAAGGTGGTTTTCAAACAAAATGAAGAGGAAGTGGGCGAAGAAGATACCGAAGAGGATTTGATGTAATTTGGAGGATAGTTGAGCGACTCGGTACATACCCAACCCCCTCAACATGAGAGGCAACGCATCTAGAGGGCGCGCGAAATATTTTGAGGTGGCCCCTGCTTCTGCTTTCGTCTCTCTTAGTCGAGTTGACAGCCTGCACTGTTTGTGTTGTCGTGTAAAGGTGCTCGGAGTACAGTTACAGACAAAGCGCGGTATGTGAAGGGCCAGTCTTCGTATCTGTTACTTCACCGAGGCCCGGACTTTGGAATCTCCAAGTTACTGGGGGAGAAAACAACGTGCAAAAGGGTTCGTACCAGATTGACGTGCTGGTTTGAGAAAATCGAGCATATACAATCCATTCTAGAGAATGACTGTGTGAAGGTATGATATGAAAAGGGAAGGCTATTAAATGATGTGACAATCAGACAATGCATAATAGAAGACATTCTCCTCTAGCACGGAACTCCATCTGGCGAACAATCAAGAGTTGCTGTACCTTTTATATGCTTATATTATAGACCAGCATCAAGGAGAGTAGCTACTTTAGAAGTCTAGATAGTACATTGTTGAGCAGGAATTATTATGAATCAACTCTTAATTCTGTGAAACCGACTTGCTTCAGTTAGTTGTGAGTTTCCCACACGGGGAAACATCCATTCCGCCATACCGTCTGGTGGGAAACAAGACAAGTGTCTCTAAGCGAAACTCACGGAGAATTTCACGTGCTGTTCCAAGTTGTTACGCCCAGCCAGAGCTCATAAGTAATAATCAAATCATTCTGTGGCGCACCAGAATTGTCATCTTCCCGAGTAGCAACAATTGGGCTTGACTGCGTGTTTCAAGTCAAGAGTACCGACGCTTTCCGCAATTTAGAAGATGTAAGACGGGGACTCCTGAAGTCCTGAATGATAGACATTGCCTGTCATGTGTGGACTATTGGTATCAAAGGCTCGTAAGATGCCTCTGCCATCTCCTAGGCCTGGAGCAAAATCTGCATATGTTTATGCATATGCCAGCGACGTGTAATCGGTGCCTTTGCCGGTTCAAGTGTCGCGTATTAGTGTAGTACTAAGTTTTTCTGTTCTTTTATGGAAACTCGGCAAACGTCGGGTGTTTTCAGGATGCTGTGGGCCGTTTGAAAGGATGGGCTTCTTTGTTGAAGACCCATTCGTCCAGGCTAATCAACTTGGGGTCCGAAAAGATCAAATAAAAGTACTTCAACGTCTTTGCAAAGAAGAAGCTCTCCATCGTGTCATCCTGCCGTGAATGCACATACGTCACGTCGACGACCACTGCGTGAGCGTCATCCGTCTGCGTCGCCTTCTGAATGGCTTGAAACATGTCCCACGCCATGTCAAGGAGGTCTTCCTTCCCGGTGATGCGGTACAAGATAAAGAGGCTCTCTATGCCCTCGGGCCGCAGGTTGTAGCGAGCGTCGTCGACGCGCCAGAACCCACGGGGTGCACGTTGGCTGCTCTGCGCAGCCCATTTCTGCTCGTCCCATTCGCAACCCTCCACGGTATCGCACTTGGTGACCTGAGCCTTCTCCGGCATGAGGCCGCTCTTGAAGGATTTATATGCCCAAGCACACCCGCGCGCAAGCTTGTTGCCAACCTCGACATCATCAGGTATGTCGAAGAGTCTGCCGGCCATGGCAAACATGCCACCGGCGGAGCACGAGATTTGTTCGGCATCCGGAATTTGATCGATCTTGAGCAGCTTCTCGTTGACGATGGCCGTGCCGAGCAGTAGGATATCGTCCTTCTGTGGTGTCATCGGTCGGTATAGGAGATGAGCTTTGGCTGCCTTTGCGGCACCCCTGTACATTTTCTCATACGAGGTGTCTAGTCCGCCGAGCAGGACATGCATCTTCGGGAGGTATTCATAGAGTAAATTACCATCCCCACCTAGCTTGAAAATGTTATTGTCGGGAGCCTGGAAATCTTCGCGGACGTTAATATAATTGGGCCACATGCCCGGCAGCATCGTTTCCTCTTGCATGCGGTCAAATGCCAGCCTGATGCGCTCGATAGCGTCGTAAAACTTGAAGTCCCCAGTCAACTGAGCCATTCTTGTGAATTCCAACGACATGCTTCCAATAGCAGCAGAGCTTTGGTAGGGATCGGGCAAGACCTTCCCGGCCTTGAGCTCTGCGAAGTTGAATGTGTACGGAGGGAACCGGTTTGGGGTATCAAAGGCGGCATACAGCATATTGGCGAGCTCAATGGCCTTGTCGAGAAGCACCTGTTCATTGCTGAGGTCGTATGCCGACAGAAGCCCTCCAAGGTACCGAATGTTCGTCTCAAAGACGTTACATTTCGACTCCGTCGCGTTGTTCCAGTCAATTGTGCTGACGTACACAACTGCTCTGTTAAAATCCTCGTACAATCCCATCAACCAGAGTGTATCGAGCGAATCAACCAATGTGACGCCCCAGCCGTTATAGCGGTTTTTGCCCCTTAAAGACAAAGGTTGCAGTTCGTCGTATCCCCAGGCGTGCCGAGTGTATGACTGCCAGCTCTTCATGAAGGCTTTGCGCACCTCATGGCGGCGGGAGCTGATCGTGCCGAGATCCCTCCTCACTAAGCTGTCAGGTTGGTCTGCGGCGAACTCGAACTGGATCTTGGGGAGGTCGAGAGGGGCTCCATTGGGAAGTCGTGCCATCTCGGCCAGAGGGACTGGATGCTTCAGCGGATGTGTGGACCAGTCATAGCTGCTCTTGGTAGCTTGAAGGATGGGAACATCAACACTGTCGTCATCATCATCATCATCATCATCAAGCTGTACCGGCTCGTCCCGCAATAGCAGGACCGATAACACAACAAAGATGACGACCAAAACGAGCACCCGATATGTTGGCGGGGAATACTTTCGTAGCTGGAATCTCGCTACCATTGTGGACGAACAACGAATCGGGTTGCAGACGGGGTGGCATATGGAAGACAAGGGCTGGGAGGGAGAGAATAGGACAGGCACGCCAGTCTTGTAGGAAGCCCTCTCTCGTCATCGGATCTTGACCACAAAGTCCGTGGAATTGCAGCCTTTCTTGTGCCCCTTGCGGCGTTGGATGTCTCGAAGATCTGCTGCCTTTGGAGCGTCCCTTCCGTGAAACGAGGGTTACCTATGATCCTGCTGTCGCTCGTCCTGGGACTGTCCGTGCAAGGAGGGGAAAGATCTCCCGGACTGTTGGCATCGATGGACCGACCTCGCGATTGGACCCCTTGAGGGGGCGCCCCTTGGAAGGGGCGAGGTGACGGTGCTTCCAGAGCCACATGTGTGTGCAGGGGGATGCCGTGTTGTCACTGCCACGCTAGATGGGAGATGGTCGAGGATGCAACGATGAAGATGGAAGGGCATTATTAAGAGACCATTGTTGAGTGGGTAGGTGGTACGTCAGGAGGCTGGATGGAACCACCATGTCCAACTGATTATGGCAAACGCCGTCATGTAAAGCTCTGTGCGATTGGACTAGATTGAACTGACTGCTCGAGCAGTCAAGAGAGGGTGTCGTTTCACGGCACCTGACATGTTTCAAAGACCGTTGGCGTGGGAAAGCTGGCTGAACTCGATGTCGGCCGACAACGTGGGTGGGAAGGTGGGCCCGGGACAAGTGGGGAGTGACCGAGACGGTACATTGTACAAGCCCAAGCCACACTCGTGTGGCTGTAGCTTTCTCTGACCGCCAAAACTTTTCCAAATTTCTGCCGCATCCCACTTCCTAGGCCCAGGATCGCCAACACAGTCCTTCGCTTTTTCGAGGAAGGTTCTCTTTGCCGCCACGAAGACCCTTCCCATACGCCCAAGCAAAAGAATAAGAAAGAAAAAACGATGTCGTCGATCCGCAACGCCGTACAGAGGCGTTCCCATAGGGAGCGTGCTCAGCCTTTGGAGCGCCAGCGGTTTGGCCTCCTCGAGAAACACAAGGTTCGTCAAGCAGGCTCTACTCTCCTGCATTCTCGAGCTAGTTGCTAACGGCTCACCCTACAGGACTACTCCCTCCGTGCCAAAGACTACAACAAGAAGAAGGCACAAATCAAGTCCCTGCGCCAGAAGGCCGCGGAATGCAACGAGGATGAGTTCTACTTCGGCATGCTCAGCCGCAACTCCATGGGCTCGCGCGTCAAGGACGGCAGGAAGTGGTCCGGCACAGTCGCCGGCGACCGCGGCAACAAAGCCATGGACATGGAAACGGTGCGGCTTCTAAAGACGCAGGACGTCGGCTACGTGCGTACCATGCGCAACGTCATCTCCAAAGAGGTGAAGCGCCTCGAGGAGCAGATCGTGCTTGTCGGCGGCATCGAAGCCGCGAGCCACAACGACGATGATGCGGACCACAGCGACGACGAAATCGACACGAGACCCGCGGCGCCGAGGAAGATCGTGTTTTTGGACGGCGCGGAGGCCAAGGCGGATGCCGCACAGGAGGAGTCGATGGAGCTTGATGGAGAAGAGGACGACGAGGACGAGTTTGAGGGTTTCGACGATGACGACAATAAGGACGCCGGCGATGCCCAGGCACAGAAGGAGAAGGCACTTCAGCGGTTACGGCTGCAGCTACAAAATGCGAAAAAGAAACTCAAGGTCCTTGCCAAGGCGGAGGAGGGCCTCGAGATACAGCGTGCTAAGATGGCCAAGACGGCTACCTCGGGCGGCACCACGAAGAAGGGCAAAAAATTAATGGTCCGGGCGCGCAAGCGATAAAGTAATTGTGTTATGTCTCCAAAGGTTGGTGGGTCGGCGAACAAAAAAGTTGGTTGCGTTTTTTCGGTGTTTATGGTTTTTCATTTCTTCATTTCAGTCCTAACATCTGAGCGGTTATGGTTGGGGGAAGATAGCCCATGCTCAGAAACGTCGTCATGCGATACCCAGGCACGCCCCGGAGTAAAGATCTAGATTTACAAAAAAGGAATATCATCGCTCCTGTCCATAGCCCTGGACGAGGTCTCTCATAAGGAAATGCCCATTATTCCAACACCCCCTAACCAGACAGAACGAAAACCCCCCAGAAGATTCATGCCTCGAGAAAGTGGTATCTCATGTTCATCATGCTCAACCCCGGACTTACACCTTTTCTTCATTCTGACTTCACGCCCACACATCTCGCCAGTCCTTTGACGATGCCAGCAAGCGCCTTGAAGCCCAGCGTCAGGAACCATACGAGGCATTTGAATAGACCCGCTACGAGTTTGAAGAGCACCCTCAGTGGCCACGGCAACCCGTCGCGCGCCTCCTTACCAGCCTGCTCCAGCTTCGCAAAGCTGCTGTCCTGACTCTCGATGTCAATTTCAAACTCCTCCATCTTGCCCCTCCGTGCCGCCGCCGCCGCTCGCTTCTTCTCCTCCCTCCTGCTCAGCCGTCGCTCCCCGCCCACAGGCTCTCGTGGTGCAGGCGGCGGCTCAAACGTCTCGACCTTGGTATTCTTCTCGTCCGCCGCCGCGACAAGCAATAACGCCGTAACGGCGACGTCGACGAGGAAGAAACTGTCAATCTTGGCGGCGATGGCCGTATCGACTTCAAGATGGCCGCCGCCGGTGCCGTCACGTGTTAACTTAGCGAGGTGCTGCGGCGACTCGTGGTGCTCAAGTGTGTACTCGACGCGGCTCCAGGCGGGCGAGCGCTCGATGGTGACGCAAAAGGGCGTCGCAAGGGCCGGATGGACGAGGAAATGCGACCCCGAGTCTTCGTCCCAGACGAGGCGGGCACACTCCGTCTCGGCCATCATGACAGCGTTCATGTCGTCCCGCTTGTCCAGCGCCATCTTAGCAGCCGCGAGGGGATAAAGGAGGGCAACGAGGCCGTCGTTGGGTGGGTGCTTGCGGGACTCCTCTTCGAGTGTCGTCGTGAGGACTTCCTGCCAGTGCTTGCTCTCGGCGCCCTTGCCGTGATCTTTGTGACCGACCACGCCGGAGAGAATGCTACTTGCTGACGAACTTGTCGTGGGATTAGAGGCCTTGTAGATCTTGGCAGGGTCGTGGCGGCTGAGGGTAACATATGCTGAGGCAGAGGTGGGATCAAGTCGGAGGCTGTAAAACGGTTGGGATGAAGAGGACAAGGTGTAGATAGGCGCATCCTTTTCCTGGGAAAACTTCATACAGTACACCCTGCCTTCCGAAGGCGGCGCCTTCCAGCCGTTGGATACCTTCCATAGGCTTTTCATGTGCTCGTTTGTTGATACGTCGGGAATGACAGGGGGCTCGATATTTCGCCTTGGCCATCGTTGCGCTGCGTCACCGCTCAGCGGACTCCGTACCGGGCTTCTGTGCTGGTTGCTCTGGCTATCACCCTCAGGGTCTGGATACCATGTCGTCCGATTGATCACGGCTCGCGGGATGTGAGTCGGACTGGTCTGTGTAGGGAAGTAGTCTTGCTGGTTGAGCGGCACGTCGGGGTTATACCGGGGGAAAATGGACCGCAGGGTAGGTTGCTCTTGAGAACATGATGACGGCTCCTCCGTCAGTGGAAGCTTTGCTATCGAGCTCCGAGAGCGAGTACTACTACTTCGCACCAGAGTATGTGCCTGGGAGAACGCAGTGTCTGATCGAGGTGGTATGTTGGCGACGGGAGGAGGCCGTTGGATGGGTGCTGTCCTTGCCGGAGGCTGCGCTGGCCCCTCGCGTCTACATGGCGTAGTTTCTTGCTCGCTAGCTTGGGTCCGGTGAATGCTTTGGGGAGTTTGTGATCGCTCAACTGGCGACTGGACTCGCTGCTGCGGTGTCTGTCTGCCGTGACGCGGCGGAGATGCTTGATCAATTACGAGGATACTCTCGGGAGACACAGCCCGCGTCCGCTCCTGGGATTCTGATCTTTGAGTTCTAGATGCTGGCCTCCGCACCGCTGGAGGCTTCGAGTTGGGATTCGGGAAGAGTGAGTACCCTCCAGAGGGTGGCGGAGCCGACATACTTGCTGGACTACGCTGCGTTCCAAGTCGAGTGTTGGATTTTGCCCCCTGTGTTGGTGATGTCCAATTTCCTCTGCAGGTAAGGGGTATTGCCTGATGAACGAAGAAGTAATCCAGCTGCTACCGATGCATGATCCCAACTACTGAACCTAAGGAATAAACAAGTTCTTTTCCCCTACTACTGCAGTTCTAGTCGAGTGAACTAGGTGAAAGAGAGAGAAAGGCACGTAAACATACCACTGTTTACGATACCAAGAGAGAGTATATACTCCCTGCCCATTGAATCAAAAGCGCTACGCTGGTTCAATGGCAGGTCACACACGGGCAGGCCTAGTAAGCGCTGGCTCATCAGACAGGCCATGATGAGTGGCGAGAGCGACAGAAGGATGTAGGGGATGGATGGGATGGAAGGGAATGTGGTCGAGGTGCCATACCAAAATAGAATGCAAGATGCGGGCTGGGCCAATCAGTCTAACCATCACACTGCATCGTAGGCGCCGAGACCAGGGTGGTAACAGACCAGCCGCGCGGGGTTGGTTCGACGTGAGATTCGCGCCATTGGCCAGAACCGCCAAATTGAACTCCTGGATTCTGACCGCCGTCAGCAGTCTTTGAGAGATGCCGACTGTGCAGCACTTCGGGCAGCGGAGCGAAATGCAACGTGGAAAAACGGGATGGCTTGCTGGGTTGTTTGAGATTTATGCGTGTCTCGCCCTTGGCCTTGGAGAGAGGAGCGTTCGTCCATCGCGTACAAGAGCTCAGAGTACATGTTACATGCTCTGTACAGAGTACACCCTCGAGGAAGAAGAAGGGAAAAGGAAAGAGAGAAGGATGAATGAGTTTTTCTTTTCTTTTTCTGTCGCGGCAGTCTATCTTTAGCCCAACAAGGTCTGCACTTCTTTCTATTTTATCTTATTTACCTGTGTGACCTTTAAAAAGGACCAGCTTGGATGTGTACTTCAATCTGCATTGACAATCAAGAAAATTTGAGGGCTTATTGATTTGGCAGAGATCGCATTTGATTTGGCTTCTTTCAGGTGCCGAGACGAGACCTGACATGTGTACCTGGAGATCAATGTTAGGATGGGAAGCTGTTCTTGGCAACTTGCCTGGTTGGTGTGTATATGTCGGTGTTAGTTAAACCGGCACCGCTCGGACTTGAGTACCGCTTTGGTCAGCTTCCTGATAAAGCTACTGGGGCACTGCCAGCATTTTCGGGAATACATGGCCAGGAGCGGCGCTGGCGTGATTGGACCAAGCACTGCTTTGAGACTCTAGTAAGATGGCCATCGAGTAGCAATTGTCACCAGAGATTTCCCAAGACCTTTTGAGGCCATTGATGCTCATCCTAACGGGGTGGTGCTCACAATTGCTGGGTAATACCGCGAAGGAAGCTGGGGAGCGTGATCACAAAATGGTTCTCAGAACGTTCTGACATGGAGTCAGGAACACCAACCCTGAAACTCACATCACCTTCGTGCCTGGCATTGAGTATCTGGAGGACCACCTGGCGCAATACAGAGCTTTTACTGAGGAAAAGGCGAAGTGACTGGGTTTGGTCGAGTTTCGGCATTAAAGATCGAGCGCGTTTCCAGATGACGAGGTGAAGTGGGGTCGTGAATATTGGACATGGTGTGTAGACCTCATTATCTACTGCTTGTTTCTCCTTCGTAGGTTCTTGTAGAATGGCGGGAAAGTATTCCGCAAGGAGACCAGTGACCTGCACGAAGCTTTCACGATCAAGGGGTTGCCAAATGTGCTGGCCATCGTCAACTGCTCCGGTCTCGGGTTTGGCGATAAGAAATCGTTCAGACCCCGAGGTGAGTGAGCCTCTGGTATGGCTCAACATTATTTTCTGTGTCGTTAAGGGGTCTAACAGATCTCTCAGGTCAGATGTGTGCCATGGCCAACGGTCAACTTGAGCCTGGCGACGGTGACGCGACAGGATGCCGACGGCTCTTGGACATTCTGCGTCCCAAGAAACTTCGATGATGGCACCGTCATTGGTGGCACAAAGGAGCTAGACAACTGGGATCCAGAACCGTCACTGAGGGTGCAGCTGCTGGAGGACTTCGCTGATACGTATCCTCGTATACTAGATAGAAGATGGCGATAACCGTACCATTGTTCGCGCTTATGACCTTGGGGGCAGGGGTTTTGAATTTGTACGGAGTACTGTCAACGTAGATTTCGAAGTCTGTTGCAAGATAAGGATTTGACTATATGCGGACGCGTTGAGAGCAAGATGTCCAAAGAGCGATATCGGCATAGGCAGATAATTGGTCCCTTGCGATAGTACCCAACCAAATACGTAGAGCCGTTCAAGGGCCACCGTTCGATGGCTGCAGGATTGGTACCTGCATGGCGTCATCCGAAGGACGCCTGAGTGGTCTAATCAGGGCTTTGCCGGTAGGGGGAAAAAAAAACGTTGTTCTAGGGGAGCAGAGGTGTTAGTGAGGAAATTTCAGCGAGACAGTTTTTAATTTTGTTAAATTTTTTATTGCTGTTCTTTAGGTTTACTGCCATCCCATGTCACTCTTCCCCGCGCTCCGATAAGCGGTGAAATAATAGTAAGACCCCTTGAGGAGTCACAAGGTGGGATGTTTTAGAGTCATTGCCCCACGTCCTGTTCTGACCCAAACCTAGCAGCTTCTCCTTCCTTCAACAAACATCTTTTAACACTGCGATTTTTCATACTACTTCAAGTCAATTGAAATCGCAACAATGGCCAGCACCGTCCTTCACCTCCGGTCCGAGACCAAGCCCCTTGAGCACCGCTCTGCGCTCACCCCCACTACCACCAAGGCTCTGATCGAGGCCGGCTACACCGTCAACGTCGAGCGCAGCCCCGTCCGCATCTTCGACGATGCCGAATTCGAGGCCGTTGGTGCAAACCTCGTTGAGGAAGGATCCTGGGAGAAGGCTCCTGCCGATCATATCATTGTCGGCCTGAAGGAACTCGAGGAGAAGGAGTTCCCCCTCAAGCACGTTCACGTCACTTTCCTTCACGTCTACAAGGTAGTTTCTTCTAAAGCAGTCAGCCCAGGGAACTGCTAATAACAAATATTCAGGGACAAAGCGGTTTTGAGAAGACTCTGGGTCGCTTCCCCCGCGGCGGTGGTACCCTTCTCGACCTTGAGTTTCTGACCAACGAGACAGGGCGCCGCGTGGCCGCCTTCGGGTACCACGCTGGCTTCTCTGGAGCCGCCCTTGCCCTCGAGAACTGGGCCTGGCAGCTTACCCACCCGGGACAGCCATTCCCCTCCGTCGAGTCGTACCCCAACGAGGATGCTCTCATTACGGACGTCAAGAAGGCTTTGGACGAGGGCGTAGCGAAAAACGGCGGCAAGAAGCCAAGAGTGATCGTGATCGGTGCCCTCGGCCGCTGTGGTTCTGGCGCCGTTGACATGTGCACCAAGGCTGGAGTCACCGATATCATCCGCTGGGTAAGGCTTGACTGTGGCTCGCACCATCATTCGTTTCACAGGCTAACGAAGACACAGGATATCCAAGAGACTCAGGCCAAGCCTGGCCCGTATAGCGAGATCAGGGAGTCTGACATCTTCGTGAACTGCATCTACTTGAGGTATGTATTTATCTTACAGCAAACCCGAAAAGGTGATTTCTAATGTAACAATGCTAATACCATTACCTCTTACAGCCAACCTATTCCTCGTATGTACCATTTCATTTGCGATTTGTCGTATGTGTTGGACGGTTTCTAGCGACCCAGGAGAAGATCATACTCCCCGGTTTGCTTTCGAAGGCTCACGATGGCGACGCAGCTCAAACATGGAGTTCTTGAGGCATTGGCTAACCTTTACTACTTTAGCCTTCGTCGACATTGAGTCTCTTCAGGCCCCTGGTAGGAAGCTTTCCGTTGTGTGCGACGTTTCTGCCGATACCACCAACCCCCACAACCCCAGTAAGTGCTAGTCCTCAGGATTCAGGTCCAGTCTCGTGCTAACGCCGGCAAACCCTAGTTCCCATCTACACAGTGGCCACCACGTTCGACAAGCCCACCGTTCCAGTCGAGGGCTTTGAGAACCCGCCCCTGAGCGTCATTTCCATTGACCACCTGCCTTCGTTGCTGCCCCGCGAGTCTAGCGAGGCTTTCAGCAATGATCTGCTGCCCACCCTCCTGAACCTCAAGGACTGGCGCAACGACCCCGTCTGGGGCCGCGCTGAGAAGCTCTTCAAGGACAAGGTTGCTACCACCCTCCCTGCCGAGCTTCAGAAGAGAGAGGTCTAGTGGGCCCCTGTTCAGCCATATCTTTGTTTTCTGTGAAGTTGAGAAACCTGGCGTTTAAGGGAAGAAGGGGAACGTTACGTGCGTGAGGAAGAGAGAGAAAAAGAACACATCCGAGTTGAGAAGCGGCTTCTGGGAATGAGATGTTGAGTTAGGGGGGGGGGAAAGTATAGACCATGTGCAGGCGTATCAGAGGATGATTCGCCCTGTCATAGATAGAAGCTTGCTGGCCGCAGATAGGCCTTGCTGATGTACTCTTTTTGATATTGGCCCGCCGTCTGTCTCCCAGCTTCGGGTCCCTTTTTGGTGTTTGTTATACCTAGTCTACATGGTGTGTGAAAATGTTGTGTTTGTACAAGCCAAATGTTCGCGCCATGGAGCAGGGTGTCCTAAACCGTAAACCCAGAACGCCCAACATATATATGCATCTGACCCCCGCGGTTCTCCTTTTCGCTACCCCATCCCAGGCTGTTGGCAGAAGAACAAACCGGGGCCCCTCCGCCGCACCATCAATCACCACTCTTATCTCTTTCCTGCCAAGGCAGCCGCCGCCGCCTCCGCCTGCTGCTGCTGCTCCTCCAACCTCTGCCGGTCCCGGGCGGCGTATCCGCCAACCCGCTCGGCCATGCGCATCTTCTCCTCCTCTTTTCTCCTCGTCTCGGCGTCCTTCTCGGGCAGGCCCCACCACTCGCGGATGAAGTCCTCCTGCTGCGCCTTCTTGACGGCCTTGCGCTCGCGCTCCTTTTGCCGCTCAAGGCGCTTGGCGAACCACTCCTCGCGCGCGGCGTCGTGCTCCTGGGGCGTCGCGTGGGCCTTCATGCACCCGTTCATGGCCCGCAGCTGCGTGCGGCAGACAAATGAGACAGTGAAGGTGCGGTTTAAGGCGCAGTCTGCGAAGGCTATCCGGGGTCGATTTGTCAGCTTGCTCGTCAAGGCCACCTTGGTAAGGCGGGGGAGGGTCGCGGTGGATGTTCCTCATTGGAGCCGCCAAAAGGGGAGGGAGAGGGGGACGAGGATAACCATTCTCATGGGCGGCGGTATCTGTCTTATATGTACGAGGAAAAGCGGCGGGCAGCCCGAGGAGATGGGGAATTGTGTAAGGGACGAACGCACCCTTGATCTCGGGGGCGCAGGCATTGCGCACGCGGGCGTGGTAAATGTCTCTGATCTGCGCTTCCTGTGAGGCGGAGAGGGGGAGCGGGTTGCGCGAGGGCATCGGCAGGCTCTTTGCAGCGCCGCCAGTTGGATCCTGAGCCGCCATTGCGGCCATCAACCGGGGGACTCGGGGGACTCAGAGGTAGGAGGTTTCGGGGCGTTGCGGTCCCCCGGGAGGATGCTGACTTCTCGTTCGGGTCGGCAATTGATGGGATGTGTTGGCAATGTCGCCGCTCCTTTGTTCAATATCGACCGTCGGTCGAAGGTGCCGTCGTTTCGGCCGTCGCTTCTTGCGAGAAGGGAGGCTTGCGTGGGTGGTTCGATCTGGTTGGGTAAATCTACAGCTACCCGTCTGTCTCTCTCTCTCTCGCTCAGTCGTGGGTGTGACCCGTGCTTTCGGACGAAGCTTGCCAATTGAGACTTTCTGCCGGCGTATTGAATTTTACCGCCTACCCGATGCGACTGGATTATATACGTATCCAATACGACAAATGCGGAATGAATACTCCGTAGAAACTTCTCAAGATACATACCTAACTCTCGGAAGAATTAGATCGATACACAAACACACGTGGACAATGCAAGGAGCCAGACATGAAAATGTTGAACGCCCTTGTGAATTGATTTTTTTTCTTTTAGTTGGGAGGTAAGCACTACATAGTTGATGGCATTTGACCTTGACATTGTCACTGAACTACGCGTCGTTCTTGTCTCCCTCAGCTTCGGCCTCATGAAGCGCTCGGTGCAGCTCGATGCTCTCCTTATTGTCTTTGCCCTTCTTCTTCATGGAAAACTTGTTACTCCAGTTAGTCATTCTGCTTTCCTTAGTCTCTTTAGACTTGGATGGGCCGAGAGACGGGCTGCTTGTGACGCTTTCGTAACTTCGACCAAACAAGCCTTCCTCGCCGTAATCATCAATGTCGCCGAAACTGGATCGATCGGCTGACAAATTCTTGTCCGAGTTGGTGGTGCTCCCTGGCCCCTTCTTAAACAGGCCAGAGTCTTTGCTTAGCCGAGATGACAGACTGAATTTGCTGGAGCTTCCTTTCCTGAAGAGCTTGCGGTAAGCGTTTTCTTGATCCTTGGTGTTAGAGTCGGATAAAGTGCTTGACACGACCCTGTCAAGCGTCAAGGACTCTCGGGACTCAGTAATAGAGGTCTGGGTATGGACGGAGAAAGCGTCGCGGGACTTTCTCGAGTCAGTCGGTGAAGTATCATAGCCTTGCGGCGGATCCAGGCCTGGCATGGAGAGCTCTCTGGTTTTGCCCTTTTCCTTAGCTTCCTTATCTTTGGCTTTGTCCCTGGCCTTGTCCTTAGACTTTGTCTTGTCCTTCTCTTTACCAGAGTCGCTTTCCTTGTCTTTGCTGCGGAACAACCCACCAATGCCTCCAATAGAAAAGGTCGGTGCCGCAGGATTGAGACGTTGACTCAACAAGGATTTTGAGTCGGAATTCTGCTTACTAGCCGGCGGTCTGCTGCCAATGACTCCGACCTGGCTGGGCGAGACCTGCGGATCGTTCAATGCTTCGTGGTCTAAGATTTCGTCGTCGGCAGAGGCCAGCGTCGTCTGCAAAGCCGCAGGAGAGCCGTGAAGAGAGGGCCGTCTCGACGGAGTTCGTGAAGGCCACGGACCGTCGGGAGACCACAAGCGATTTCTCTCGCCAGGATGGTTCCATATAGACCCGCTGTCAGTGGAGGGACGGGGCAAGTCTGCCGAAGTCATGGAAGTCGGTCTAGGGCTGCTAGGATCCCGGTCTACAAGAGAGCCATTCCATAGCATTAAACGACGGGCCGAGGAGAACATGCTTCGTCCAAGGTGGGACGCACTGCTTTCCGTCATCTCGGGACCCGCTGAGTTCCTGTTTCGTCCCAATGAGGAGAAGCTTGTTCTACGGCGAACCGTTCCGTCTGGGTCGTCGGCCTGTCGAGGGAACGACTGGCTCTGACCGTGCTTCAGGCTACCCAGTATCGGTCCACCGTCATCAACAGCTTTGGCGCCCTTGCCTCTCTGGAATGAAGACAGCAAATTCGTGAACCGGTGTGCTGCCGGTGATGGCTGTCCGCTGGGGGAAGAGGTAACATCATTGAACGATGCGTGGTCGCCGTTGTCAGGCGCTAATTGCGGGAATGCAGTCTTATGCGAAGGCCCAAGTGGACTTGAGTGAGCACTGTTGGACCTTTTGGACGATTGTGGCGAGTGGGCGTCGTATTCGTCATCCGGCAAGAATGGGCTTCGTTGAGAGAATGAATCGGGGCTTGCAGCGTCGTCATCGCCCAAGATACCGGACGGTAACAAAGCTGCAGCTGTCGGACTGAGCGGGGCATTACCGGTGAGGGCTCTGAAATCTGCATCTGAAAACTGATCGGCGCCAAAATTGTCGGCTCCAGAGATTTCCAAAAAATGCGAGAAACCAGTCCGGCCGCTGAAACTAATCGAAGGCTCAAAGGAGTCGGAGGCAGGAAAAGGCCCTGTTGGAGATGACATGGCAGCGTTAGAAAGGGAATTTCCGGTACGGCTTCGGCGTTTAACCTGCGCGGAGAGGCTCTGGTCGAAGTCGACACCAGAAGAGTTTGCTTGGTTATAGAACTGGAGACTCTGTTGGTTCTGGGCGTAGACCTGAGCGTGGAGAACGTGAATATGGCCTTCCAGTTGTTGGGATTTTCGGTTCTCCATAATGAGTTGGCTCTGGAGTTCCCGTCGCTTGATTTCGAAGTCCCTCTTCATCTTTCGGTCGTCTTCCCGCCAAGTGTCGTCTTCCTCTCCGCCTGGAAGCTTTCTCCTAGCATCTTCAAGCTCCTTGAGCTGTTCCTTCTTCTCTTTGTATTCGGTCTCGAGTTGCGAATACTCCTCCTGCAATGCAGAGTTGTCCTCGTCCAAGTGCTTGATTTTGAGGTCGCGATCTTGCTCCAAGCTTTCCTTCTCAGCCGCAAAACCCTTACGCGTCTTCCGCATGTTCTCGATCTCGGCGGTCCACTTATCGATGTTATCGATGATCTTCTTGCGCTTGTCTTGCTTTTCCTTGAGTAGGTTCTCCTTCCTCGCCTTGTCCTTTGTGGCTTGGCGCATCTGCTCATAGGTAGCCTTAACCTTCTGCCGAAGTTGCGCTGTGTTGTCGTCCTTTTCCTTTTGCATCTTTTTCTTCTCCTCCTTTTCTTTCTTAAGCCGCTCTTCGAGCTGTTTGAATTCGCTTTCTTCGGAGGCGTGTAGGGATGCTGTCTCGTCAATCTCCTTCCTCGTCCTCTCCAATGCATCGGCAAGGTCTTTCAGTGAAGCCTCGGGCTGGTCGCCCCCAAAATCTTTGATTGACGGCTGTTCTTGGCTCGCTATGGAAGGGGAGTGTCTGCGATTAACGGTGTTGCGTCTCTGGCCGGAAGGCCCGTCCCGCACAGCAGCAGACCCGCCCTCGAGAGATGGGGCCGCCTCGATGGTGGGAACCTGACTGCGACCGCCATTGTCCTCAAGACACGGGAACTGTCCTGACTTGGGGTCTTGATCTTGAAAACTGTCGGGGAGCCTCGAGTTGCCCAGTTCTGGCCGTCCGTCGGATCGGTAGGTACGCAACCGTATGACCTGGCTACCGGCTTGGAAATTGTTCGGTCCGACAGCGATGACGCGTATGTTGTAGCAGTGGTTAGGCCTCAGACCTGTGACGGTAATTGCCGTTTCTTCCTGCCTCGACTCGCCCACTGTAAAGAATTATCAGAAACACTGTCCATGACCACCAACGAAGCGGGCCTAGACTGACCATTTACGCCATTCACCTGGATCAAGAACTTCTGCACAGGTCGGTTGTGCGTGGGGCGTGTCCAGTTGAGGGTCGCGGCGTCGGGTCGGATGCCGGCAAGGGATACGTCTGGGGCCTCGGGAACGTCCACTCCGAGGATGCTGATCAGGTCGGTCGTCGGCTTCCAAAGAGTTTGCCAAGCGCGATGAAGCAGCCTAGAGACGGTCAGAAAGGACTAGTCTGGGTATGTCGCGTGCGCGGAACAAGATGGTAGTGGCTCGACAGGCGACTGGAGGGAAGAAGAGGTCGCGTGGGATAAACTCACCAAATGACTGCGGCGAGCGTCACCAGCATACTGGCGTGCCGCACGAGCAACTCATCCAGGCTCCAATAGCGAATACCCTCTCGGGTGTAGTGAACAGACCAGGCGAGGC